ATGACTGAAGTTTCTGATTTGGGCCTGATAGCCTAATGAACCTAGTCAAGGAGGACAGAGGGGTGTTGGCTTCTGAGACCTGTGCAAAGCTGCTCTGGCTCATTGAGTTGGGGCTGTGTGAAGTATTGGGGTAGAAGTGGAGCTGTGACTGTCACCACTCGGAAAAGTAAGTTTTCACGTGGTGCCACTTCTGTGGGCTTGTGCGTAGTGTTAATCCTGGAGCGCTCATGTTCACACAGTGTTTCTAGTGCTAACTGTAAGATGTGTAATATCTTGTTACTTTCTAGAGTTATTTGAGTAGCAGAAGCATAAGGGAGAAACAGATCTCCCATCTGCTGGCTCAGTCACCAGATGGCCCTGTGGCTGGGTCAGGTGAAGCCAGGGCCTGTGTGTCTGACCACGTCTCCCTCGGGGGTAGCAAACACCCCAATACTTTATGACTTTTCTTTCACTGACTGGAGTCACCTGTCAATAAGTTGCATCAGTGAATATAGAAAGTGAAAGGAATGGGCTTTGGGAGGTAAGCTTTTTATCGTGAGCATTTCCTGAAAAAGTTTTTTTTTTTTTTTTTTTTTTTTTTAGTGGAAAGGCAGATCAGATTTATGGAGAGGAGAACAGACAGAAAAGTCTTCCATCTTCTGGTTCACTCCTCAAATGCCACAGTAGCAGAAGTTAAGCCAATTCAAAGCCAAGAGCTTATTCCAGGTGCTCCCCTAAGTTGGTGTAGGGCCCCAGGGCTTTGGGGCATCCTCCACTGCTTTCCCAGGCCCCAGGCAGGGAGGTGAATGGAAAATGGAGCAGGGGTCAAGAACAGGCACCCATATAGGATGCTGGCACTTGCAAGAGGATGACATAGGTGTTTAGCCATTGAGCCAACCTGCTAGGCCCCTGACCCTGGATTTAATGGAAGATGAACAAATCAAGTGCAGAGTAAGTACCCTTACAGCCCAGTGGCCTGACCTCAGCAGTTTGGATAAAAAAAATAAAACAACAACAAAAGCTAACAGCCTCATACAGAGAATTTTGATGGGATGTTTTGGATGCAAAGCTCTTACTTAAGTTCTTCCTGCTTTCTCAGTTGCAGTTACGTTGCAATGGCTGGGGCACTATGTGCTCCTCCTGCCCTGGAGGGGGGTTCATGACTTTGAACTAGTCCAGTATGTTTACAAATGGAGCCTGCCTCCTCACCTGGGTCTCCTCTTTTAACTGTGATGTAGTGGTCTTCCTGTTTCCGGCTGTGTTCTTCAACCTGCATATCCCTTTGTAGTCAGAGATTTTCACCTGCAAGCTTTTGAGACTGTTGGGGCTTCCTGCGGAGCTGAGCAGAGGCAGCTCCGTTAGACACTGGGAGTCAGTGCCTGTGTCAGTTAAGCCGCTGTTTGTTACCTAAATCTGGGTAGTCACAAACAATGTTATTAATCCGAAGGTTGCTGATTTCATGTTCTTTGACGATTACATAGTTTCATTTGAGTTTAAGTTTTGGTCATTATATTTTTGCAGTAATTACCCTAGGCACTTCATTATATGCACCTGCTCCCTTAACTGTTATTTTAAAAAATCTATTTATTTATTTTTATTAGAAAAGCAGATTTACAGAGGAAGGAGAGAGGCACTCAGTGTTGGAAGTTGAGCTGATTTGAAGCCAGCAGCCTTTTCAGGGTCTCCAATATGGATGCAGAGGGCCAAGGTACTGGGCCATTCTCTGCTGTTTTCCCAGGCCATAAGCAGGGAACTGGATGGGAAGTGGAGTGCCAGGGACACAAACCAGCCCCCATAAAAGATGTTGGCACTTGGAGGTGGAGGACTAGCCTGTTGAGCCACAGGGCCAGCCCTTATTTTATTCTTTATTAAAATGTTTAGTAGTTTAGGTAACACAGCTGTGTTGTGATGCTGCTGTTTTGTAACTGCTGTAAAATTGGTAAGTCGTGTACATAAAAATGAAATACTTGCAGATTCTGTACAGGGATTCATTCAATAATTTAGTATATACAGCAGTAAGATAATTAAAGTGCTCCCATCCAGTGGTGCGGTCCACAGATGCCCATAAAGAGCCAGGGCTAAGCTAAGGCACAGTGCAGGAGCCCCATTACATGAACCAGGGCTGGGCACTGGGCTAGGGCACAGTGCAGGAACCCCGTTACATGAACTAGGGCTGGGCACTGGGCTAGGGCACAGTGCAGGAACCCCATTACATGAGCCGGGGCTGGGCACTGGGCACTGGGCACTGGGCTAGGGCACAGTGCAGGAGACCCTCATGTGAGTCTGCACAGGCAGAAGGCTGCAGTCAGGAGCCAGAGTTGCACCCTGGCTCTTCCTCCTGTGTGGAGCGCGGGGATCTTGCCTGTCCAGGTGCCTGCTCCAAGTTCTTGATGGAATAAAACAGTAACTGATTCCAAGAACGTGTTTTATAGAATAACTTACATGCTTAAGTTCTGTGTGGACATTGTAATAGGAAATAATTTTCTAAGATGATTCACCATTTTTCTAGTAACTAAAATTCTAAAACAGGGATTTGAAGAACTGACTTTTTTTTAAAAGATAAAGAACAGTTACTCAGGATTTTTAACTGTCAACTGTGATTTCTGTCATTCTTAGAAGGTCGGGGTAAGTACTCACTGGGACACCTTGCACATTGAGGTTCCAGAATCACTCAGAGCTGAAGTGATAGTCATGTTGGCAAACAGCACCCGGACTAGTTGGAAGTGCTGCTCTAGAGCTCTCACATGGGGTCTGCGAGCCTGATGCACAGAAAACCAGTCCCTGCCATGGGGTGGGAGGACACCCAGAGCAAGGAGCTGGGAGGCGCCCGATCTCTGGGCCTCCTGATGAGTTTGGGGAAGGGAGGTTCAGCTGAGTCCAGGTTCCCGGTGCCTCTGAGCTGCTTCTGATAGGTGATGCTGTGCTCTCCAGGGAGTCTGGGAGGGCTGAGTAGGCTTTGTTAAGAACAGCAAATTCTGGGGGTTACCTTCTGACCCTATCTGAGAGTTGAAGCCTCTGCAGACAACAGTGGCCAGTGGGATTTTACCCAGTAGACAGAGGCACGGGGCTCCTTGGGTTGAGCTACAGCAACATTGTGTGTGAGCTGTAAGGCCTTGATTGGCTCTTCCCTCTGCCTGCAGTGTTCTTTGTCCTTCCCTTGCATTTCTTTATCCTCAAGAAGCCAGCATAAACTTGATTATTTTTTCACTTGAAAGGCAGATTTTACAAAGAGAAAATGAGAGACAGAAGGAGAAGGTCTTCCATCCACCGGTTCACTTCCTAAATGGCTGCCATGGCCAGAGCTGAGCTGATTCAAACTTGAGAGTCTGAAGTTTCTTCCAGGTCTACCACATGTGTGTAGGGTTCCAAAGACTTGGGCCGTCCTCTGCTGCTTTCTCAGACCACAAGCAGGGAGCTGGATGGGAAGTGGGGCTGCTGGGACATGAAGCACAAACTAGCATCATATAGGATGCCGACACTGCAGGGTGGAGGATTGGCTTGCTGTGTTGCAGCACCAGCTATGTTGTCATGTGAGCTGTACCGCTGCCCCCGCTGCCCCTGGTTCAGTGGATTTTTTGGGGGGGATGGGGTAAAGGGCAGCAGGGACTCTGTGAGGCTGTATCCTGCCCTTCCTTCATGGGGTTTGTGCTCAGCTGCCCCCGTGTTTACTTCACCAGGGCTGTGTGCCTCGTAGAGATCCAGTTCAGTGCACTGGTTGATGCCCTGCAGAAGTCACTGGCCGGTTCAGGAAGGTTCGGAGAGAGATGCACTGTCATGTTACTTTTTCAGGCTTTTGCTTCTGCTTCCATTGCTTGAGCCATCCCTGGAGCTTTGCTCCTCCTGCGGTTGTGTTAGCTCTCCCCAGTGGGGGTGATCCTCTAGGCGGGGCCTGCTGTCCTCCTGCTCACAATTGTTTCCAACTTCCACCTGCCTGTATTTAGTTTTTGCTTTATTCTATTTTATTACTAGTTGCCGGGTTTTCATAAATGTTACAAGCTTTTGCTCTGTCTACTGTTTTAATTTCTGAACATTGTGAATTGGTTAAAATAATTAAAAGTGCTGAGTTTAAAAAAAAAAGTCTAGTATCCTGTGAAGTTTCAAGACTGTTGCTTCGATTTCTGAGTTGCTTCTGATGGTGAGGCATTGTTACTGTTGTGGTCTTTGAAGAGACCTTGGTGATGTGGTGCTGTGGTCCCGGTGAGAAGGTGAGAGATGCTGGCTGTGCTCTTTGGCGGAAGCTGAGCCCCAGCCTGTGGTTTTGCTTCATGGCAGTGGCCCGAGTTCCAGTCTCTTGCCTCTGTGGCTGCTCTTCTGCCATTTGAGTTCTTTCTTGTGTTCAGGACTCGCACTGTGTCTGCTTTCTGCCCTTCAGCTCCCAGAGCAGGAAACAGCTTTCAGTTTCCTGAAAAGCAGATATCCTCTTCCCTGCAAGCCAGATCTGAAAATTGCTGACATGTTTTTACTTTTAGAATTTATGAGCGTGCCTTTGTGTTAAGGGAAACTGAAAGCTCGTGAACTGAAGTGTGGCTTGTGTGTCTTAGGTTGTGTTTGTGTAGGATTGTTCATTGAATGTATTTTTCAGTTGAAACTATTTTACTGACTATACAGAATGGAAATGGAGCCTTGACACTGTAGACGCAGGAAGCTAACGCCTTCAGATCACTCGTCAGTAACTCACTTTGCTGGCTGACCTTGTCCATGGTTAAAATGAGTCTGGTTTTCTCTGCGTGGGAATAAAGAAGTGTGGTAATTCCTGGAATCGTTTCTTGAAAAATGCAAAGTGGGGCCTTACGTTCGTTCTATCTGTGTATCTATCTGAGTATGTATCTATCTTTACAGAAAATTCCAGCATTGTCTGGCAGAGGCATCCTGGTAAAATCCCTCTTCCTTTTGGTTGCTTGGGTTTTTTTTCCCCTTAAGAGTTCTGGAAAACACTTGGTGGGAGAAAGCAAGCATTTCCCTCACATCTTCTGTACTCCTGGGGTGTCAGAACCGTAACTTTGGGTCTCTTCCTTGTCTAGGGGCGGAACAGGAGATGATGTGGTCTGAAGGCCGCTACAGCCATGAGCGACCTCCGAGACAACGAGGGCCTCCGCGCAGCCACCCTGCTGTAAGTCGCTCCGACCGGCCCACCTCCTGTCCAGTTGATCGTGTAGCCGGGTCCAGCGAGGTGTGCTGAGGGAATCTTGGGAGTTCACCACTTGGAGATAAAAAGTAGATCAAGCTTGTCATTTAAAATAAAGTTGAAAGTTTGAAAATAAGTGGCAACATTTTAAAGTGAAGGATTTATACTGAATTTAACTGGTGAAGGAAGTTTTAACTTCTCTAAGGGTGACTTGTCATTTCAGAAGTATTTGGGCACCTGTTTCTAGAGTCATCTGTCCCCTATTTTTTTTTTTTTTGTTCAAGTGTTCATAAATGCAATATATGAAGCTGTAAAAGGCTAGTCTGAAAAAGCAGAACAAAAAATACAGGGCCTGGTGCGATAGCCTACTGGCTAAAGTCCTCACCTCATATGCGCCAGGATCCCATATGGGTGCTGGTTCTAATCTCGACTGCCTCATTTCCCATCCACCTCCCTTGTGGCCTGGGAAAGTAGTTGAGGATGGGCCAAAACTTTGGGACCCTGCACCTACGTGGGAGACCCGGAAGAGGCTCCTGGCTTCGGATTGGCTCAGCTCCAGCGGTTGTGGCTGCTTAGAGAATGAATCAACGGATGGAAGATCTTCCTCTCTGTCTCTCCTCCTCCAATTAAAACACACACACACACACACACACCAAACTTTCTGTTTATTCTACAGAGGGAGGAAGCACTTTGCTGTCTGCTGATTCAGTTCCCAAATGGCACAGTGATCCCTGGCTGGGACTGGGCTGGGGCTGGGGATGTGATTCCAGGTCTCCCACGTTGGTAGCAGGGATCTATCACCTGGTACCTCCTTCTGGAATTAGGGCGGGGTGGGATCTGCACCCATGGGGTGTCTGGGTGTCATCTGGGCGTCGTCCCTTTATACCAAGCCCGGGCCCTGGTGGCTTTCCGTTTTGCAGAAGCTGTCTCTGTTCCTAGACTTCAGTCCTGTGAGAGTCCAGACAGGGCTGTGTCAGCTGTGCTTTTGTGCCCAGCAGCCTGGGCAGCGCGTGAGGGGCACGGGGCTGCGGTTCAGACCAGCTGGCGTCTGGTGTGCTCTGCTGCTGCTGGGCACAGTGGCTCCTTTGGCACTGTTTGCAGTGCTGTGTCTAGTGCCTAGTACATAGTTGGAGCTCAGTGTAGATTAAATGCGTATTTGAGAGAACTTGAGAGACCTGGTGGAAAGTGGAATGAGAGGATGCTGTAGTTTGGGGCACATGTTTATATGCATAAGTTTGTCATGTTACACTTTTTGCAGGAATGTTCTGAAGATCCCTGTGTGTACCTTTCCCCCAGAGTCCTTGGTGGACCTGAGCATTCAGGAAATGTCAAGGGGCTGTCAGTTTCAGCTTCTGTGTGGGCCTGGGTGTTGAAGATGTGTGCATCTCCCACTGCACAGCAGAGTGCGCAGCTACTTGATGCTATGTCAGATTATTATTTAATTCTACAGTTACTTGGATGGGGGATGTTGTCCTCAGGGTTCAAAGTTGATTTGGTCGCATCCAGCTGAGGTTAGAGTTGATGGGAAGTGTTTTCAGATGGAAATCTACAGAGGCTGTCATGTTTCGGGGTGGGCAGACTTAGTCCTTATTGTCCTGGGTGTTACTTCTTTCCAAGTTAAATTGTAAACTTTATATTTCTAATGAGAAGCCCAATTAAAATTTTTCTAGCTTAAGAAAGCTATTTTATGGCTTACTTGGAAGAAAGTACCAGTGATAGAGACATGTGAGTGGTAACGGACCAAGGGACAACATTGTCCCATATGGGTGCTGGTTCAAGCCCCAGCTGCTGCCCTTCTGGTCCAGCTCGCCGCTCTTGTGCCTGGGAAAGCAGCAAAAGGGGTGGAAGTCCTTGGGCCTCTGTGCACCCATCTGGGAGACCCAGAGGATGTTCCTTGCTGCTGGCTTTAGTTCTGACATAACACCGGCTATAAGGCCACTTGGAGCATTAGCAGATGGAGGCTGTCTTTGTCACTGCCTTTAAAAGACATTATTTTAAAAAATAGTTGAATTTTCTTATCGAGTTCATATTTGAAGACTTCCCCCATCTCCCTGCCACCACCCAGACCCTTGCCTGGGATAGTGTCCCTTTAGGAATTTTGGATACTGCATTTCACAGAAACTTGACATTATAATTTGTGTGGTTATGCTAGTGTTGTGTGGCCATCTGCATAGTGTGTTCTGTTCTCTGAGGAAGCCCAGTGTGGGAGTGGGGCTGTGTCGATGGTTGTACTGATTGGAGTTTGCTTGAGAGGGGATGTCCAGGGCTTTGAGATGTTGAAGGTTCTAAACTGCATGGTCAGGGCAGTGTGCGGTGTGCTAGGGGAAGTGCGTGGCCAGGGCAGTGTGCGGTGTGCTAGGGGAATTGCGTGGCCAGGGCAGTGTGCGGTGAGCTAGGGGAATTGCGTGGCCAGGTCAGTGTGCGGTGAGCTAGGGGAAGTGAGTGGTCAGGGCAGTGTGCGGTGTGATAGGGGAAGTGAGTGGTCACGGCAGTGTGCGGTGTGATAGGGGAAGTGAGTGTGGTCAGGGCAGTGTGCGGTGTGATAGGGGAAGTGAGTGTGGTCAGGGCAGTGTGCGGTGTGCTAGGGGAATTGCGTGGCCAGGACAGTGTGCGGTGAGCTAGGGGAAGTGAGTGGTCAGGGCAGTGTGCGGTGTGATAGGGGAAGTGAGTGGTCACGGCAGTGTGCGGTGTGATAGGGGAAGTGAGTGTGGTCAGGGCAGTGTGCGGTGTGCTAGGGGAATTGCGTGGTCAGGGCAGTGTGCGGTGTGATAGGGGAAGTGAGTGGTCAGGGCAGTGTGCGGTGTGATAGGGGAAGTGAGTGTGGTCAGGGCAGTGGTGTGCGGTGTGCTAGGGGAATTGCGTGGTCAGGGCAGTGTGCGGTGTGCTAGGGGAAGTGAGTGTGATCGGGCAGTGTGCGGTGTGAGAGGGTTAGCTGCGGAAAGCATTGTAGCTCTGAGAGCAGTGGGACACAGGAAGTGACAAGTGGTAAGCAGGAAAGGCTTAGTAAGTTTGAAGATCATGAGTGACAGAACGATAGGCAGGTAGAATTTTGCACTGTATGCTTTCCAGGATGGAAGGTGTCCGGTGTGTCCAGGTGAAGAGTGAGAAGAGAATGTTATTGGAGAAAGATTTAAAAACCTTGAAGCTTGATCATCCTGTTGCAGTGTTGCAGTGTTTTTTTTTTTTCTTTAGAACAGATTAATTTATTTGAGCAGAGATACACACACACACGCACACGCACACACACCTTCCATATGCTGGTTCACTCTCCAGATGGCTGCAGTGGCTAAGGCTGGGTCAGGCCCAAGACAAGATCTTCAGAAAGCTATCCCTTGTGAGTGGCAGGGACCCCAGCACCCGGAACCATCTCCCACTGCTTTTCTCAGGTCATCAGCTAGGAGCTGGACCTTAAATGGTGCGGCTCTGCCTCCAAGAGCACCCGTGTGGGATGCTGGCTTTGCTGACGGCTGTTACATCAACCGTGCCACAGTGCCGTCCCTGGTTCAGTATCCACGCTGTACACTGAAGTCACCTCGGGCTCTCTTTGGTACTGCCAGATGGATCCAATCCCAGATAAATGTTTTTTAAAGATTTATTTACTTGCAAGGCAGAGCAGCTGACAGGAACTTCGTACAAAAACACATAGGGATCTCTCCCATTGATTGACTATCTCAATGGCTCCGACAGTTGGGGCTGGGCCACTCAGTGCAGGGGTCAGGGGTCAGAAAGTTCATCTGGCTTTGCCTTGGTGTAGCAGGGCCTGACGTGCTTCAGTCCTCATCTGCTATCTTTTTTTTTTTTTTTTAAAGATTGATTTATTTATTGGAAAGGCAGATATACAGAGAGGAGGAGAGACAGAGAGGAAGATCTTCCATCCGATGATTCACTCCCCAAGTGAGCGCAACGGCCAATGCTCTGCCGATCCGAAGCCAGGAGCCTTTTCCGGGTCTCCCACGCGGGTGCAGGGTCCCAAAGCTTTGGGCCGTCCTCGACTGCTTTCCCAGGCCACAAGCAGGGAGCTGGATGGGAAGTGGAGCTGGTACTAGAACTGGCGCCCATATGGGATCCCAGAGCGTTCAAGGCGATTACAGTCAAGATTTTGGGTGATGACAGGTGGCTGGAAGTCGATCACTAAGCCTGATGTGAAGCCTAGGGACAAAAAAACAGTTTCATTTCATTGCCGCTTGTGCGCATGCACAAAAAGTGGGATGGCATTTTCCCTGGTGAAGTGATGAAAGCTGCAGTACACGGGCGTGGCCGTAGACCATCCCTGCACTCCTGTCAGGCCTGCTGCGCGCTCGGCACCTGCGCACACGTGTACTGCTTCATTCAGCGCAGGCAGTCTCGCAGATGGAAACATTGCTGTGTTCCCCATCCCTCCTTCCCAGGATTGCTCATTTTTGTTTTGGTGAATTTGGCCTGATCTTGGCTGGGTGAGTCCTAGAACCCCTCGTTTTCCTTCCCCATGGCTCTTGGCACTTCTCTACTCGCATCCCCAGACTGCATTTCTGCCCTGTGAGTTTGGTCTTGGCCCCTTGAGCAGTGCTGTGAAGCCTGTGGATCAGATCTGTAACAGAAAATGAGTAAAATTAAAGAAGACCTTCATTGGAGAGAGTTATCCAAATTGTGAAGTGGTTTGGCATGCTGTTTCAGTAGTGGTTCAGTATCAGTGGTTGCGGTTTCATCACTGCAGTTAGAAAGGAGTGAGACGTGTGGACAAATAGTTGGAGGCCTCTGAAGCAGCGTCCATGTGATGGGACTGTCATGGTGACCGAGTCCTGTGTCTGGGGCCGGCACTGTGGTGCGCTCTTTTTCTTTTTTTTAAACGTTTTTTAAAAAGATCTATTTTTATTGGAAAGTCATATACATATATATATATATGTATATATATATGTAGAGGAGGAGGGACAGAGAGGAAGATCTTCCATCCATTGATTAACTCCCCAAGTGACCGCAACGGCCGGAGCTGTGCCAATCTGAGCTGAGCCAGGAGCTTTTCCAGGTCTCCTGTACAAGTGCAGGGTCCCAAGGCTTTGGACCATCCTCAACTGCTTCCCCAGGCCCCAAGCAGGGAGCTGGATGGGAAGCAGGGCTCCCGGGATTAGAACCGGTACCCAGTGGGATCCAGGTATGTTCAAGATGAGAACTTTAGCTGCTTGGCCACCGCACTGGGCCCGATGCCCTCTTAATTTTCTGTCTGCATTGCCAGTCCAGGCTGCTCTGCTTCTCTTCCTGCTTCCTGCTTATGTGCCTGGGAAAACAATGAAAGACAGTGCACATACCTAGATCCAACGTCTGGCCACCCCAGCCACGCCTTGCTGTTGGAGCCGTTTGAGGAGTGCACTAGTCAATGCAAGATCTCTCTGTAACCCTCTTTCAAATACAATTAAATAAATCTTAAAAAACAGAAAAGCACACATCTTGCTGCTGTGCCCTTGGTCACTAACCTGTAGGTGAGAGTAGCTCCATTTGCATCTAGTTTGTTTGATACTAGAAAAGGAAACTGTATTTCAATGGTACTGAAAATAAAGAAACAAGTGTAGTAATTCACATGATTATTACCTAGTGAATAATGAAATTTAACCTTAGTGTGGAAAGTTTGATGCAGATTTACGTGTTAAACAAAAACAAACTCGGTGCTTTTTTTCTTACTGAAATGAAAGCATTTCTCATAGCAGGCAATTACATTAATTAGAATGTGTAACAATTTAAGAAACAATTATTTCCTGATAAAACAGTCATTTCATTTTTCTAGATTACAAACCTCCTCTGGAATGTGTGCGTTCTGAGCAGGTTTTCCCTTGCATGCCACGCTGACAGAACTTACTTCACGACGGTTCCAGGGCAGCTGGCGATCGTCGGCTCTTAAGAACAGATGTGAAAGTGTGTGTTCTGAGCAGGTGTCCCTAGCTCTATAAAAAAGGATTTTGTGCAAGTTACTGCTTATTACATTGCAGCACAGTACATACTATTTGAGACAGTCTCTTAAAAAAACGAGCTATCTTGTGCCCGGTGTGGTACCCTAGTGGTTAAAGTCCTCGCCTGGCACATGCTGGGATCCCATATGGGTCTGGTTCATGTCCCAGCAGCCCTGCTTCCCATCCAGCTCCCTGCTTGTGGCCTGGGAAGGCAGTTCGAGGACAGCCCAAAGCCTTGGGACCTGCACCCGCGTGGGAGACCTGGGAGAGCTCCTGGCTCCTGGCTTTGGATTGACTTAGCTCCTGCTGTTGTAGCTACTTGGGGAGTGGACAGAAGATCTTCCTCTCTGTCTTTCCTCCTGTATATCTGCCTTTCCAATAAAAATTAAATAAATCATTTTTAAAAAAATGAGCTACGCTCAATGTTAATTTTTGCTCTGATTGTATCACAGCAATGGAGTAGGGAATCCACTTAGTTATAAACATGTTTATTAAAAATTTATCATGTCCAGAGTGAATTGTGAGTTACTCTACATTAGAGCGGGTGCTGCAGGAGCTGCGGGTGGCACATGGAAGACAGCCACGGTGCCTCCGGGCAGGGAGTTGTTGGTGAGTCTGTGCATATCACTTGAAGTGTTTTTAATGTTTCTGTTTGAAGTATTTTATAATGAGAAGACTTAGCTGAGATTCGTTTTCTCCCCTCTTGGAAAAAATTAGAATATTTTTGCCTTCTAAAAGATACAAACTTAAAAAAATTCTTTGCAAAAAATATATTTTTAAAAGTTTTATTCATTTATTTCATTGGAAAGGCAGGTTTACAGAGAGAAAGATCTTTCATCCCCTGGTTCAGTGCCCCAAGTGGCTGCAAGGGCTGGAATTGAGCTGATCCGAAGCCAGGAGCTTCTTCTGGGTCTCTCTTGTGGGTGCAGGGGCCCATGGGCTTGAGCCATCCTCTGCTGCTTGCCCACAGTGCTGGCAGGAAGCTGGGTCGGAAGTGGAGGCATGGGCCTGGACCTGACACTGGCAGGTGATAACCGGTTGCTGCCGCTTGGCCCCCAGACAAGTGCTTGATTTTACTTTTCATGACATTGCATGGGTTCCTGTTCATAGGGAAATTGAAGTGGTAAATAGTAACTTTTAGTGAGTAATTTTAGTGATTAACAGTAAGCAGTGTCTAAGGAGTCACTTTTTGGAACTTGGTGTTTTTGATGGAACTGTACATATGGTGCTCGTGTGTACTGGTGCGCACTGTGCTGTGCTTAGCAGCTTTGGTCGGGAACGCTGCAGCAGGAATACGTTAGTGTGGATTCTGTTTCACAGGAGATAAAGCTGAGACAGGATGGTAAGCAGCATTGAAGGTTGAGCTGTGGTTTTTCAGGTTCTCTTCCACATCAGGTCACTCACGTTGAACATTTGGGAGTTCTCCAGGGCCTGGTTAGTTGCTGGCAAGTAGCCGTGCATGGAATCCTAAACATGGACCACAGTGCGCTGCAGTTCTCTCAGGGCTGCTTGGGCTGGAGACACTCACCACAGCATCTTCTCGCTCTGCTGCGTCTGTGTCCAATCTTATGTGTGTATTTTTCTCTAAATAGTGTAATTCAAGCACCGACAAAGTGTGTGTGTGTGTGTGTGTGTGCGCGCGCGCGCGCGCGCGTGCTGTGTTGGGTGGGATGGATTCTCCTAAATTCTTAGACAGCTAGGTGTAGACCTTCCGTGTAACATTTTTGCTGTCTGGAGTGTATTTTGCATCAAGATGATACTTTTTGTTTTACTTAGGATTGGTTTTATGTCTTGCTACATGTTATTTCGAGCCCCTGTCTATCTTCACTGAATAATTTGATTTGCTTTAATCCATGTGAACACTTTGCTGTTAGTTACATGCATGTTTCATTGATGTGTTTTTGTTGTTTATACATTTAATGTGTTTGATAAGGATAAAAACTCCTGTGCTTTTTAAAAACCTTTTTAGGACCAAACAGAGAAGTTAGTGATTTTATATATTTCTTTTTGTCTGTTTTAGGATGGCTACCATAGAGTAGTTAATATTGTGCCAAAGAAACCACCACTGCTAGACAGACCGGGTGAAGGAAGCTACAGTAGATATTACAGTCATGTTGATTACCGAGAATGTGACGAGGACCGCAGTTTTTCTGATCGGAGGAGTGGTCCGCCTCACAGAGGAGTATGTAAATCTTCCCCGTGTACTAATTGTTCTTTCTTATAGTTTGAAATTCGTGTGTTTTTAGAAATCAATGGGATGGCTGTGAAAAATAGCTGAGCAAACCCTCCCTGCTTTCGCTCTGTTGAACTGCCTGTGGAGCTGTCCAGGGGGCACTTGGGTCATGCTTCTGGGGGTGCTGGAGAAGGTGGGCGAGCACTCTGGAGAGTTCTGCCTTCATGTGAATTCCCCTGGGCTGCTTTTCTACCCCCCTACGTTGGCCGAGATTTGCAGACTTGTGTGAAAACGATCTGTTACTGGATGTGCCCACTTAACAATGGTTTCCATCATGATGAAACGAAGTTGCACTGATCGCCACTTTTTGTTAGGATTTTTGTGAACATCTGTGTACTAACTGGCTTTGTGGTCAGCTGCTGTTACTACCAACGTGAGCTTCATGTAGTGACTGTTGCATGAATCTGTTACTGACCTGAGCTGAGACTTCCCCAACGTCTTTCTGCTGCCCTGTCTTGCATGTTGAAACCTTTTCCTGCCAGACTTTCTTACCTCGTCCCTTTTCCTGCCTTGCCTGAAACGGAATGTGGCCATGAACAGTACCTTTCCAAACACAGCTCCTGGTAAACTTTGGTCTCACGTTGACTGCTTTAGTTTCCATCCTTTGCACTTGATGCCACGGAGGTGAGGTGGCTTACCTGTGGAGGGGACGTCACGTGGTCATGGCCTTTGACACTGGGGAAGTCCTAACGAGATGGTCACTGTTTTCTTGTACTTGTGTCCAGTGTTTGGAGTGTTAATAGTTTCTTTCTTACAGAACGAATTTTAATTTTGTTCGGTTTTAAAATGTTACAAGTTCTTTTAAGAAGGGAGGTTGGGTGGCGAAAGATAATTATCTTGAGGTTTCGGCCATCAGAGCCATTCTTTGGGTAGTTTCAGAAGTAATTCAGCCTTTGAATAAGTATTATCTCTCTCTTTTTTTTAGTATGGACAGAGTTTTGTATTTATTGGTGGGTTTGCATTTGAAACATTTCCCCTGAAAATTTTCTAGTAATACTTGGAGTTTGTTACAGATTATGTTTCTCTCCTATATATTTTGTTTGAATTTTCCTGAAATTACCAGATACACTTTGATCTGGAGACACTAGTTCTTACCCTAGATTCAGTTGTATAATGGAGTATATGTATTTGATCCACTACCTATTTTTTTTTTAAAGATTTATTTTTATTGGAAAGGCAGATATACAGAGAGAAGGAGAGACAGAGAGGAAGATCTTCCGTCCGATGGTTCACTCCTCAAGTGGCTGCAACGGCTGGAACTGAGCCAATCCAAAGCCAGGAGCCAGGAGCTTTTTCCGGGTCTCCCGCGCAGGTGCAGGGTCCCAAGGCTTTGGGCCATCCTCGACTGCTTTCCCAGGCCACAAGCAGGGAGCTGGATTCCCATCCCAGCAGGGCCGCTGGGATTAGAACCAGCGCCCATATGGGATCCTGGCACTTTCAAGGTGAGGACTTTAACCACTAAGCTATCGTGCCGGGCCCAATCCACTACCTATCATGGCTGTTGAGTTTTTTGTTTGTTTATAGTGTTGAGAGAAAACAATAGTCATTTGGTGAATTCACTTAAAACAGCTTACGTAATACCAGAGACAGGGATGAAAACGAGTCAGTTTGCTGACTTGAGAAACCTTTGAGTTGTGCAAGTACTGTGTGGCTAATTTTAAAGTGATTTAGAATGGATTACTATGTGATTTTTTTTTCATACATCTTTCTAAATACAGGACAAACTTGTGCTTCATTTTAGATTTTAATTTTAGTGCCACATTTCAGTATAGCTTCTCAGTAGTGATGGTTTGTCACTATTTTGGGAAAAGGTCTGATTTTTTAATGGGAGATTAGATGGGAAGAGAACATTGGAGCAAGAAAATGGGGGAAAGTTGCAAGTTCTTAATCGAACTTGAATCTGAAAGCTGCTGAGAGGTCAGCAATAAGAAATAAAGTGAAACATTGAGAAACAAAATGCTTGTCTTGGCTTTTTCTTTTTCCTCAAACAGCTCTTGATTGTTGATGTTGGCTTATGTGCCTTTCACTGGTTCTGTGGAGGAAATACGTGGAGTTTTTTTAGTAGAGATAAGTTTTGTGTTGCTATGGCTGCAATAGGTGAGTTGCTATGATATTTTTTTCTTGTGTCTTAGAAGCAGGGACATGTCTCAGCCTACTTCACAGTCCACAGTTCTTTGCAGCCTGCTGACTTACTGGGAACTGGCAATCCACATTGAAGCAGTTTCTCTTGTTCCAGGATGACTCTGCCCATCGGTGGAACAGAGAGGAGCATTCTGCAAGCCGACAGTCTGAATACAGGTAGGAAAGGAAACACGGCATCTCGGCAGTGGGATCCGTGACTCGCCGACTTGGTGTGGGAACTTAACCTCCAGGCCTGTGATACGACATCTTCTAGTAGGATAAAATTTGAAAGCAGCAAGCATTGTATTCCTCTTGTGAATATGATCATATCAGTATGTATTGAAACATTTGAATTACTGACGTTTTGAACACTGGTTGGATGATTGACGTGTGGAGTGGCCCAGGAGGAACGCTCTTGCCTGGTTAGAATGCACAACTTTTGTTCCAGCACTTTCCTGGATACAGACATGCTTCCTTACAAACTGCCTTCTGTGGTGGGTTCGCTCAGTTTTTTATTTTTAAACATTCATACATTTTTATTGGAAAGGCAGGTAGACAGAGGGAGGAGAGACAGAGAAAAATTTTTGCCATGTGCTGGCTCACTCTCCAAGAGGCCGTAATGGCCAGGGTTGAGCTGTCTGATGTGACACTAGGAGCCAGCAGCCTCTTCTGGGTCTCCCACGCGGGTGTAGGATCCCAAGAGTTGGATCATCCTGCTGCTTTTCCAGACCACAAGCAGGAACCTGGATGGGAAGTGGAGCACCTGGGACCTGAACCTGTGCCTGTGTGGGATGCTGACAAAGATTAGTCAGTTGAGCTAGCACACTGGCTCCAGGCTGTTTCATTTGAGAGGCAGAGTGACAGAGAGAGGGTGTGATGCGCAGAGATCCTGGATGTTTCACTCCCTGAGCAGCAGCAGTGGCTGGGCTGAGCACCTGAGCCATCTGGTTGGAGGAGCAGCAGCCTGGAGCCGAGTCAGGTCCGTTGCTGGCAGCAGTATAACCTCCAGGCCCTCAGTTGCTTTATTTTCATCAATAATATTTTCTTGTCAAAACACAAATGGACAGGGCTTAGTTGACTAATATACAGATTTATTACCAGTGAACACATTTAAAGGAACTGGTAGTTTTATGAGTGGTTTATAGTGTCACTGTTGGGAGTTGTATAGGGAACCCTTGGAAGGTCTCTCACTCCGTGATCGCCTACATAGTGTAGCGGTTTGCCTTGTGCACAGAGCAGCTTCATGGCACCTGCCAGGCTGGGCGATATGGCTGTACACACAGTGGTGTGCATTGTGCTTGAGGAATTTAAGGACTGGAGCTCACTGTTTTGTAGTGAGAAGCAAGGTGGTCTTTCTTTCCAAGTCTGTGAGCATTGGGAGTGGTCACCTGGACCTGTGTGGGTGTCTCTGTAACCACCCACAGAGATGTGCAGTGTGGATGAATAGTGAGATGTGTGACTTGGCTTACTCAGAAAGCATCCCTAGGACAAGGAGAACTCACAGCTTACTCTGTACCAAAAGAAACACTGGAGAAAGACTGAAAAAATGTACTAATAAAATCTGATACTCAGGAATTAGTGACAACTTTTGCAACTTGGAATGAAAGAGAATTCTCATACACTGTGTGGTGGACAGTAGCATTTGCTTGTAATTGAACCAAGGTGTGACACCTGCGGTCACACCTTTGCTTCAGCATTAGGTAATAAGTTCTCAGCCTCCACCTTAAGACCGGAAAAGTGAGAAGGGTATAGGTGATGCCTAGAATGGAATAAAATATATGATTTTTAGAAAGATTTACTTCTTTTTGAAAGGCAGATTTTTTCTCATAGAGAGGGGAAATGGAGAAGGATCATCCATCAACTGACTTATTCTCCAATGTCTGCAACGGCTGGAGCTGGGTTGATTTGAAGCCAGCAGCATCTTCTAGGTCTCCCACGTGGGTGCAGGGTCCCAAGGCTTTGGGCCGTTCTCCACTGCTTTCCCAGGCCACAGGCAGGGAGCCGGATGGGAAGCGGGAAATGGAGCAACCTGGCATGAAGTGGCACTTACTGTGCCACCGTGTTGGCTCCTCCCCCTTCAAAAAAAGTATTTGAAGATAATTTTCGTTCCAGAATTCTTTAATTAAAAAAAGTTTTTTCCCAACTGCTATCCGCTGATCCTTGACCCTTCCCACCCTGATCAACTATGTAAACATCAAAAAAAAATTTTTTTTTGAACAAATTATTTATTTGAAAGGTAGAATTTGAGAAGAGAGACAGAGAAATCTTGCACTCGCTGGTTCATACCCCAGACGTCTGAGGGGCTAGAGCTGGGCAAGTCTGAAGCTGGCAGCCAGGAACTTCTGGGTATGCCCCAAGGCCCTGGGCCATCCTCCACTGCTTTGCTTGGCATACTAGCAGGAAAGTAGATCAGAGGTGAAGAGGCTAAAGCTCAAGTCAGGGTCTCTAAGGGATGCTGGTGCTACAGCCTGCAGCTTTACCTGCTATGCCATGGGTCTGGCCCCTCTGCAGGAATTTTAAGAAAGCATTTAAGCTATTGCAACTGTTTGCAGCTTCGTTGGAATCGGTACACCAAAATCAACTACCAGTGTAAATTAGAGAAAGAGAATACAGATTTCTGTATTAGAGAATATATTGTCATTGTTGAGAACGGTTTTTATTTGTTTCGTACTTTGTTGTCTCAAAGTCTCATGACATCAGCTACCAGAATACACAGTCAGACTCTTCACTTTGTACAGAAGGGAAAGAGTAAATTTCAGTGAAAGTTCACGTTGACTGAAGAAAAGGCAGCAACCTCCATGAAAATTATGCTCAGGAAGATCAAGGACACACATGCAGCTGAACAAGGAGCTGGCTCTGCAGAGGAACAGCCAGGACTTGAACCCCATGGGATGTGTGCTGAGCCACAGCGTCTGTCTCCCCGTGTTTACTGCCTTCTGTGGATGTCCTGTAGATGCCCGAGTGAAGCCTGGCGACTTTGAACAGAGGGCGCAAAACATTTTGTCCAGTTTTTCAGCAGGATTATTTGGAAGTGAATAAAGTTGTGATGTTTGGTTCAAGTAGTGACTGTTGAGGTGAAGTTTGCAGCCACTAGCTGTGGTGATGAGCTCTCCCTGGGCTGCAGAAGAGGTCTGTGGGTAAGAGTCTGGCTCAGCCGCTGGGGTGTCTGCCCTCTGGCCTGATCCATTGTGGCTGCGGCAAGTGTTTGTGAAGCAGAAGGTGCGTGTTTTCTGCTTGCCTTCTCACAGCTCCTCTCCTGCAGATCTAGATTCCCTAGAAAGTCAGTGATGTGAACTCTTCTAACTGTATGTTTGGGTTGATTTCATTTGCAACACGATCTTTTTCTTTGTGTGTTTTAATTATTTGCAAGGCAGAGTTTCAGAGAAGAAACAGAGATCTTCCATCTAATGATTGGCTCCTCACGTGGCCCCAGCAGCCGGGGCTACAACAGGCTAAAACTGGGGGCCAGGAACTCGACAGGGTTTCCCATGTGGGTAACAGGCCCAGTACTTGGGCTGTCAGGAGCTGGATCTGAAAGCAGCCAGACTCGAACCATTGCCCACATGCCAGGTGACAAGGCTGTTGGCACATGGGATCCAAAAGCCTGTATGTTCCTAGGCAGTATATAACATAAGATCCTGGAAAGAGAGTGCCAACAGACTCGGAAATAAAATGTATAATTTAGGTGTTTAGTAGAATTGAGGGTTATCTTGTTTGATGCTCGATACTCAAAGAAATTGAGTAGATATGCTAAGTGGTTCCAGGAACGTTCCTGAATATTCCCACCTGTATCTCAGAATGAGTCAAGCAAAGGAAGATGTGTGTGGCTGTCCGTGTGATGCGAATTGGTGCTGGGGACACGCTGGGCTGTATGGTGCCACCATCACCTGCACTCCTGTCCTGGGCACTGGGCATCACCCGCAGGCTGTGGCATTTACATAGATCTTTAGACTCTGTGAGCATAATTGTCATCACTTTAGATCTAGTACTATATAAGGAGCCTTGTTAGTAGAGTTCTCTGCTTATTCCTGCATTTGAGTATTATCAGTGTTCATAATTCGTAAAAACAGGTATTTTACACTTAAGGTCTGAGCATTTCAGGGCACTAATGCTATATGCAGTATTCATACATCCAGTTAGGCACCAGTGAACAGTGTGTGTGTGTGTGTGTGTGTGTGTGTGTGTGTGAGAGAGAGAGAGAGAGAGAGAGAGAGAGAGAGAGAGAGAGAGAGATACTGCGCCTTAATTCCTGGAGGGCTGTTGGAGAAGAGGTAATGAATGGGGAGCTATCTTAAAATCCTTTTTGAAATTTATTTTTATTTTGGATGATATTTACATAGTTGAGAAGGATGCATTTCCATGTGGACCAATGGGTGTTGTAGCCCTGCCCAGCCTGATCTGCCCCCAGTCTCAGCTCTCACACTCACCAGCAGGAGAGCCCACGCTACTCCCCTGCCTGGCTCGCCAACCCCTTACCCCCCGAGTGTTATGTGTGTTGGTTGTAGCTGTGGCCTAGTCTGACATGGTCCGTCTCACCTCAGCATTTCCTAGTTTGTGCTGCAGCTTAGCTCAGCCTAGTTGTTCCCCAGCTCCCAGTCCTGGCCCTAATGTGAACTGGCTGGTGTTGTGTCCTGCACCCCATCCTGGTTCTCACGTCTGCCAGTAGGAGTAATGAGCCTGCCCAGCGTCACCCACCCCCAGACCTGCCCCTCAAGTATGCTGGTAGATACTGTAACCTGGCATGGTCTGAGCTGCTCCCAATCTGGATTCTTGTGCTCACCTGCAGGGACTGCATTGTGACAGAAGAGTTCTCTAATCCTCTGTCCGGTCACTTCCCAGGGGCATATCTTGAAACACAGGTGGGTGCTTGGCTCAGCCTGACTTGGCCCACCTCCTGTCCTGGCATGAACAGCGGTCTTGCCCGACTGGCCCACACTCATTGTGGCTCTTACTGTTAGTTGCTACAACCTAGCCACATCTGGTCCATCCCTAGACACAGCTCTCTTGTGGTTCAGTGGGTGCCGAGACCTAGCCCAACCCGTACTACCTAGCAAGCACCAGTGGGTGCTGGAGCCTAGCCCAGCCTGACTCACCTAAGATGCAGTCCATACCCATGTCAAGGTAGATTACAGTCATGTCCAGCTCAGTTCTCCACCCTGTTCCGGCTCTTGCACTTAACAGTGGGGACTGCAGCCCAGCAGGGCATCCCTTTAGCTACCTGACCAGGCCTGGTAAATAATAGATGTTGCACGTGCTGGCGGTTGCTCTAGCCCAACCTGGCGTATTCCATTCCCCATCAGATGCTGCAGCCTGGCCTGATCCTGTGCACCTCTAGTCCAAACTCTCACTGGTGGGTGCTGCAGCCTAGCCCTGCCCAGTTTGCCCCCATCCCTGGTATTCATGCAAACGGGTAGTTATGGTACCCTAACCCAGCATGGCCCACGTCCACCTGGCTCCTGCACATGCCAGCGTGCTAAGGCTTGGCCTGGTCTTGCCTGGTCTGCCTGCCCCTGCCCCTCTGCCACTAGTCTACACATTTGCCGACAGGTGGAGTTTCCCTGCCCAGTCTAACCAACAGCCAGACTTGAATCATGTTCTCACCAACAGGAGCTGTGGCCCACCAGGGATGTTCCTCAAGTTTCCCTTGCCAGCCCCACTCTCAGACCCAAATCTCACGTGTGCTAGTAGCTGCTAGGCCCTTAAATGCTGTAGTCTGTCCTCTCTGTCTCATCCTGTGTGTGCTGGTGGATGTTATGACTGGGCCCAGCCTACACCCTTTTCTGGGGTGCCCTTACAGTGCTGCAGCCTGAACCAGCCTGGCCTGTTCTCAACTGCAGTTCCTAGGAGTGTCAGGGCAGGGTGGTTTCTATGATCATGCCTAGCTCAGTGTGTCTGTCTGTCTGTCTGTCTTTCTCTCTCTCTCTCTCTCTCTCTCTCTCACACACACACACACACACACACACACACACACACACACACACACACATTTAGCTCTTGAGCAAACCAGCTGGTATGGCAGTCCCACAGTTGTGAGCCCGCATATTTCCAACAGGATCTGCCCCTGAGATCTGATTCTCTCGTATGCTGTTTAGTTTCATGTCCCAGCCTAATGTGACCTGTCCCCTGTACTGACTTTCGCAGATACTTAGTACAGCCCTGCTAGGTGGGCTCCCAGCCTACTTTAATGTGCACCGGTGAGTGGTGGTTGGTGGTTGTTGATGCTAACTAACCCAGCTCAGGTCTCCCATGTGGGCAGGTGGATTGGTCAGACCCAAAAAGGTCCTCTGGCTTCCCTCCTCCAAAGTGCTCGGTCATAGACCCCATGCTTACCTGCAAGTGCGCTGGGCTTTTTGGCAGAGGTCCTCCAGAAATTGTTCCTCACCTGTAATGTGCTCCCTCAGTGGTCCTCCCTCCCGTGCTCCTATACCCCTTCCCTGATCAGTGCATAGTCCCTGTTGGGCCCAGTCGGGAGCCAGGCACTCCGAGTCATCGCCAGTGCCTTCCAGGGTATGACCTGGTGGGAAGCTGGAGGCAGAGGCTCTGGGTTATCCAGGGGCTTGGATGCAGAATGTGTGTGTCTAACCACTAGGCTAATTATCTGTCCTTGTATTCGCTATTGTGTTATAAAATGGTACTTTCCCATAATATTCAGTGTTTCATCTTTGTTTATGGGTTTTTTTTAAATCTTTCTCTTCTATAATTTTCCTCCCAAAGTTTAGTTTTTTAATTTACCTTAGTTTATCATGACTTTGTGTTTTCCGAAGGAAACCTGTTCTTGCCAGATTATAGCAGAGTTATGTAAAATATGTTAAAATTTTAATCCACATATTGGGGGATGACAGGTAAAGAAAAAGCCAAAGAGCCGATGCCCTGATGACAGAATTTCCGTGCCTAGAAGGGTCGGGGAGGAGCGTTCGGTCTGCAGCCCGTGGCCCACGGCCACTGTGAGCAGAGCGGTTAGTCGCTGAATCTGTTTGTAGGACATGCTGTGAGAACTGCATTAAGTGTTGAAAACTTGTTGTTCTCCAGGGTTATTGGATGGGATGGGAAATGCTGGTTTTGATTGAAATAATCAGCATTTTTGAGAAGTCACAGCGGAAGTTGACCCAGCAAGGCCTGCTGAGGTCGTCCACTCAAACAGGGAGGCAGGGCCGCAAGCCTCGTTTCTGTGGCAGCTTTCCTTCGTAGACAGTGAGAACACACGTGTCGCCTCAGGTTAAACGTTGCAGGTGAAAACTGAAGAATACCTCCTGGGATGTGGCATGACAGCTGGTAAAACATTGACCGTTTCACTCCCACACTCATTCCCCCACTCCATGTGATCTGTGCAGGGAGAGGCAAAGCACGAAGCCCTTACTCCCTCTTCCTCCAGAGGCCCTGCGACGGCAAGCTCCCTCCTTCACAAGGTACAGTGCTGTTTTCTGCCCACACCGCGTTGTCTCACAGCACGGGAGCATCTGGTGGTGCTGGCCCCTGCGGTGACCCTTGGACTCCTGAGTCCACACGAATACCTTTTGGGTTAGTACTCTGTGTAACAAATGTTGGGAAAGATGTTTTACCCTGTACCTGGTAGAAATCAAAACACGAGCCAGCTAACCCCCTTTCTAGTGTTATTTAACTTTGCTTTCCAGTCCACAGTGACACTTGTAAAGCCGCCACAGCTAAAAGATAATGTCAAGAGGCAGGGTGGAAGGAAATGCGTCCATTGCTTGGCGTTCTGTGAAGATGCACTGTAGGTAACCTCCTGATTCTTTGGTGTGTTTGGGAACTCTGAGCAGCACTCAGTGTTTGGTTCCATACTGGCTGGTCTGTTTTTGTAATTATTCCTGGGTCAGTGTGCTGCAGCTGTGTAACCACAGCCTGGAAGTGCTAGGTGCTTGGTCGCAGTGCTTCCTACCACCCCTCACTTTACCAGCACCTGCTACTTGTCCTGCTTTGTATTTCCTTCGTTTGCATAGCAGCCTCACCTGGAACTGTGGACATGGACTTTGTTGCAGTCTGTCCTGTGGGAAGCAGATGCCAGCAGCTCTGGTCACTGGGACGCATGCTGCAGGAACAGCGCAGGACTCGTGGCCTACTGGGAGGCTGCCTCACGAGGGCATTACTTTTAAAGCTTAAACAATTTGTTCTGTGATTTATTTTAATTTTATTTGAAAGACAAAGGGGTCAGAGACATTCTGTCTGCTGGTTTACTCCCACGCAGGCGGGGACTGATCAGGCTGACATCAGAGGACTAAACCTGCATCTAGGTCCGCCATGGGGATGGTCCAGACCCCGGCTAGGGTGTGCATTATCGGGAAACTGGAGTGGAAAGAGAAGCCCAGGCAAGACCTTAACCAGCTGATTGTCCCACTTGCCAGACACCTGCCCTGCATGTGGGATACCATTACTGCGCAAGCTGTGAGGTCTGAGAAGCCTCTAGCCTCAGGGTGACGGTTGTGAACATAAGCCAGATCTCTTCATCACCTGTCCAAGCTCCCCGGCAGCATCCCTGACTCCTGTGTGCTGGAGCCCGGCCCATGCCTCTGACCACCTCTCCGTTACGCTCTCCTGGTGTGCCTGCATCCCGACCCAGAGAGCTCTTTCTTGAGTGTAGACCTGCAGTAGGCCTCACATCCACCTTTCCGAGTGTCCCCCTGAAGTGGTTCTCTGTACTGTGGACTGTCTTCCTGGAGGACATGCTGTATGGGGCAAGGGCTTTGTCTTTGCGTAATTCACAGGTCTCTCAAATAGAGTCTATTTTCTGTCTCCTCTCTTATGGCTGGATGAGAGTTTCAGTGATTAAACTGCTTTGCTCTCAGCTTACCTCCTAACTTGTGATTCTTTTTTTCCTTCCTCAACATTACTTTTATTTGAGAGCGACAGAGGAGACAGGAAAAGATCTTCCCTGCAATGGCTGGAGCTGTGCCAGCCTGAGGCCAGGAGCTCTTCCAGGTCTCCCATGAGTTTTCAGGTGTCCAAGCACTTTGAGCCCTCCTCCACTGCCTTCCAACCCATCAGCAGGATGCTGGATCAGAAGTGGAGTAGGTGGGACTTGAACTTGCACCCATACGGGATGCTGGTGCTTCAGGCAGATGCTTAGACTCCTCTGCCATTGTGTTAACCTCCTGATTCCTTTTTAAGATTTGCTTGTGTGTTTGAAAGGCAGGGTCGAGGAGATGGGGAGAGAGAAAGACACTCTCCAGCCTCTGATTCGTTCTTCATCTGGCCACAGCAGCTGGTCTGTGTCAGAGTCGGGAGCTACCGGCTTTTTCCAGGGCTCCTGTCTGTGGACCAAGTACTTGTGCCAGCCTCTGCTCTTTTCCAGGCACGTCAAAGCTGGGTCAGAAGTAGTCACTGGGATCCTAACCAGTGCTCTGATACGGGAGGCTGGCTTTGTAAGCGGTGGTTAAGCCCAGTTGCTTCATTTTTAACTAATTCTGGGCATGTTTCTTGTCCCTAAATACTCCCTCCAGGCCACCGTTCAGGTGTCGTCTTTGAACCGCCGTCTGTCTGTGCCTTCCGCCCTGCTGCTTCTCCATCGCCTCCGTCCCAGTGGCCTGTCATCCTGGTTGCACAACTCTTCTAACATCAGTTCTTTTGGCCTGCCTGTTCTTACCTTGCCTTTTCCTTTTTCCTTTCCTGTTCCTTTCTGTTCCTTCTCTCTCTCTCTTTTTTGATTTTATAAACTTGTGATTTTTGATGATGCTTACATAGTTGAGAGGGATGTGTGCTCATGTGAACCACTGATTAGGGTGGAAGGGTCGAGGTATAGAGGAAAGTAGATGAGACAGTTCATCTAATGTTTTTTGTTTTTTTTTCTTCCTGCTTCTGGAGGAGCAAGAGTGAAGGAGAGAGGCCCTAATTGCGTCAGTTCCCAGGGATGGGGCAAGGCTACTTGGTTTCATCCCAGGGTCCCCAACATGGAACATGCTCCAGGAATATTGCTTAAGTGGTTTCCATAGTTCTGAGATGCTTTTGCTTTCATTATTCCAGGATTGAGGAAATTCCCCCAAAGTCCATTACTGATGTAGTCCACTTCAGAGTCTTCATTTGCCCAAATACTTGCTGTCAACACTTGGCTGGAAGAGGTCTCTAATTTGTTCTGTCCTCCATTTTCTGCCATGGTATTAGATGTCCCCTGCAGGCTTCATTGAGCTGTCACATCCCCCTTGTGCATCTGGGCCTGCTGTCCACTGCCCCAGCTTCAGCAACTGAGGAGCCAGTTCTGACACATGCACTCCATGCTCAAACCACAGAACTTGTTATTTCCCTCGTAGTTGGAATTTTGATTCCTGAGGGCCAGTTGGGATGGTCCCCAAAAACCCTGCCTGAGGTGACCCCAGCCCTGGCTCCTGTGTGTGCCAAGTATGGGGTCCAGCTCAGTCCATCACCCACATCAGCCTACACGCACAGATTCCTCTCCCAGTCTGTTCTGTCCCCAGCCTCAGCTCAATACAGACTAATGGATGCTGAGTCCCACCCACCCCTGCCCAGCATACACTTGGCCCACACGCACACCAGTGGGAACTGCAGCCTAGTCAGAGTGACCCTCAGTAACCACCAGCAGGCCTGTTCGCAGCCCTAGTTCCTGCATATGTTAGTGTGTACAGCAGACTGGCCCAGTCTGTCTCATATCCTATTCAGCTTTGACACGCACCAGTGGGTAGTGCACCCTAGTTCAGCCCGATTGACTGACTCCATTGTCCAGCCCACACTTATGCTGGTGGGTACCAGCACTTGTCCACCCAGGTCCAGCCCTGGTTCTTATGTTCACCGGTGGGAGTAGCTCATAGGTGTTCATAGGTGGTAGCTTATCTGTGCCAGAAGCCTTGCTTCTCTTGAATGTTCTCTTGTCTTTGGCTCTCCACAGGTGTGTTTAGACCCTGCGAATTCCCTGTGTCTGTGGTGAATTATGTTCAGGATTGGGGCCGGTTCATGTAACCTCAGCTGTCACATGACAGTGGGCTTTTTTCAATTCCTTTCAAAGTTGTGTGTTTCAGAATCAGAATTCAGAATCTGGAATCCTGGAAAACTTCCTTGGATATCCAGGTTGACCTGGGGTGGGTCCCTGCCTCCAGGGCCAGGTCGACACTTGGCCAGGCATTGTGGACCTAGATCCGAGGCCCTTAGGTTTGAGGGCGTGTTCGTCTTGGGCCATTTCCAACCATTCTGCTCTGTTCCCCTCTGTACTGCTTGGTTGGATGGCGACTGCTGAGACACAGGCCTTTGGAGGAGCCTTTTCTCCTGCGATGCCTCTTTGCCTCACTTTCTCCCGTGGATGTTGCCATGGATGTCCCTTGCTATCCTTCACCGCTGGGTGGACTCAGATAAGCCCCTTGTAACTGCACGCACATGGCTTCCTCTGCCTCCTCTCCCCTGCCAGCCTGGTGCAAGAATCACCCCTTGAGCAGGTGCGTCCTCACTTCTCCCCATGTTTTTGGTTTTCAGAGTTTTGTCGGATTCCTGGATCACGGGTTACCGGGCTCCTAGGCCTGTTCCCACCACTAGAGCATTCCACAATTTCTTCCTTTGTTTTTGAGTCAGTATTTTTAAGGTGTCTGTTTTGCAGTTTCTGTTCTTGTTTATATAATGCCCTTAATTCTTTTCTACTTTCTCATTTCATTCTTTCCTTTGTCTTTCTTTCTCTCCTTCTTTCCTTCCTTTTTTACTTATTATTTTGAAGATTTTTGTGTCTTCATTTGTGGCGGCAGTAGATGCAGCTGAGCTGATCTGATGCTACAGGCCGGGCGCTTCTTCCAGGCATTCTGTATGGACACGGGGCCCCAAGGACCTGAGCCATCCTCTCTGCTGCTGGTTTTTGTCCCTCTATGATGTCTGCATATGTAGTTCAGTTGTATTTCTGTTACATGTTGATCTAAATCTAATCATTCCTGAAACACCAGCTCAGTGTTTTTGTCTGCTAATACATATTTCTTACTGAATTAGCACTGCTGGCATTGAACATCAGTTCCCCACAGCCTTTCTGCCGTCTCCCAAATTTGTAAGCTATCTGGGAGCCAAGTTAATTCCTCTAGTTCCTTTCCTATAATGGACACTAAGCACACTTGCATGACTTGTGTGGTCCTCTCTCCCCCTCCCTCTTTCTGTCTCTCTCTCCCCCTCCCTCTCTCTCTCCCTCCCTCCCTCTCTTTCTGTCCCTCTCCCCCTCCCTCTCTCTCCTCCTCCCTCCCTCTCTCCCTCTGCCTCTCTCCTTCTGTCCCTCTCTCCTTCTCCCTCTTTCCTCTTCCTCTCTCTCTCTCTCTTTGTCTCTCTCCCTCTCTCTTTCTCTCCTTCCTTCCCTCCCTCCCTCTTACACACAAAAACAGACACATGCACTGCTCAATATCATCACTTTAAGAAAGAGGATACTAAGAATAACTTATGAGTTTGGTGTTTTTGGTTTTTGTTTTCCTTAAATTAGACAGTAGAAAGGGGTGATGTGAAGAAAGGAATGCCATTCCAAGCTGTTAAAATGTGCCCCCGTGCATCCTGTCCTCTGGTACTCTGTGCTACCCCTTCTGGGATGGGATTTTGCTGCCCTCTGGTGTCAGGACTGAGGAACTGTAGCTCATCCTTTGACTTAGGGCAATCTTTGGCTCTTTTCCATCCCTTGAAGCAAATCATCAATAAGCTCATTTCCATCTAATTTCCAAGGGGAAATTAGAGCAAGAGAAAGACAGGTTTATCTGTTGTTCATTCCTCAAATGACTGCAGGTGGTTGGAGCTAGGCTTACTTAAAGCCAGGGGCCAAGAGCTTCTTCCTGGTCTCCTGTGTAGGTGCAAGGGCACCTGGAACTGGACCGTCCCCTGCTGCTTTCCCAGGTGCATTGGCAAGGAGCTGGATTAAAGATAGAGCAGCTGATGCTCGTACGGGATGCTGCGATGCTGCAGCTAGAGGCTTAACCTACGCCACTGTATCGGCCCCACCAGTATCTTCTCCGATGATTTGCTAAGTTCAAATAGACAGCCCGAACTCCTGCCTGACCTCTCTGTGGTCAGCACTGACCGGGCTGTCCCACAGTCACCTCGGACGTGCCGTGCTCTGCTCTCCCTGTATGTCTCACTGCATCCTGTCCTTGGGTGAGCTGTTTTTTTCTTTTTTCTCCCCTTTCATTTCATCAAGCTGTTGTGTAGGAACTAGCAGTTTCCTGGACATGCCCTGGCTTTTACACCTGTTAGTCAGGTGTTGGCTGTGTCCTCGCTGGGCACGTTCTGCCTGCATCCCATGTCAGCCGCCACACTGGCTCTTGGCCCTGAGCCTGGCCATGCTCCTGTGTCCTCGGTGCCTGGTCTGATATCAGCCTCCTGAACTGAGAGCTGTGTGGTGGCACAAGTGTGTGCCGTTGCCCCACAATGGGACTGGCAGTGCCTGGCATACCATTTGCTTAATCCATCGCCAGGCTGGCAGAGCAGTGGTGGTTGCTATCAGCTCTTTTGCAGGCAGTGAGCGAGAGTACAGCAGGATTCCTTAACACTGCATTTCGGCATTAATGCTCTGTCTTTCACACAGTGTTGATGTTACTGTGTCTTCAGGAGTAGTGTTTTGTAGGTGTTCATCACTTAGCATTCACAGGAGCTTCCGGACAGCCGCCTGTTGTGCAGGGACTGCCGTCAGTGTGCGAGGTGTTATACATAGATATTTTAATATGCATACATACATGCATACACATATATATATTCCTTTTTTTTTTAATGAGCCCCTCTTGACATGTGCACAGGCAGGAAGCTGGAGGGCAACCGAGTAGCTGGGACATGAACTTGAGCACTCTGCTCAGGGAGGGGCATCCCAGGCAGCATCGGAGCTCACCCCATGCTGAAATTCATTCTTTTTTTGCTTGGTTTTACAGAGAAAAGGAGAGGCAGAAAGATCTTCTGTCCACTGCTTTACTCCCTAAATGGCTGCAATGGCTGGAGCTGAGCCATTCCAAATCCAGGAGCTTCTTCTGGGTCTCCCACGCAGGTGGAGGGTCCCAAGGCTTTGGGGTATTTTCTGCTGCTTTCCCAAAGCCATAAGCAGGGAGTTGGATGGGAAGTGGAGCAGCTGGGACAGGAATTGGTGCCTGAATGGGATCCTGGCAGATGTAAGGGTGATGATTTAGTCACTAGGCTACCACACCAGGCCCACTGAAGTTAATTCTTGCACATTAAAAAATAATACGCTGTTGTTTTGTCTCATTATTTTTCTGTCTGAAATTTAATGTTAATTATATAATTATATAGTATTATCTAATCAGTTAAAAATTATATTTAAAAATTTTTGTTCTTTTGAGAAAAGCAGAGAAACGGATAAGAGCAAAGGAGTGCTTCCTTTTGCTGCTTCAGTCCCACTGCGCGCACAGTGGCCCTTCCATGTGCTGGGAGGTCCCTCCTGGTCTGCCCTTGTGTGAAGCGTTGCCTGCTGCCCCCCAGGGTCTTTAGCAGAAGCTGGAGTCACGAGGGGAGCCAGGTGCTGAAGAGGCTCTCCAGAGTGGGCCTTGGCACGGGCTCTGCCAGCCTGCGTGCCCATCCCTGCATGTTCTGTCCATAGAGTTTGTGCCTTGATGGTTCCCTGTAATAATTTTGATTTGTTTTGATGCTTTAAGATTTTGTGTTGCAGAGTCTGTTTGGTGCTTTGGGTTATTTCTGCTGATCATTAAAGACCTTTGTAAAAGTAGCGATTTGTGAAAAGCTGATGTTTAGAGATTGACAAGTTTCTCTCCGAAGCGAAAATGTATGAAGCAAGGATTTAGTGAACATATACCTTGGTATTATCAATTTGAGCTGTGGGTAGGTTCACTGTGGGATTTGGGTGGCAGGCCTCGTGCCTACTCAGCTGTGGCATCCTCTCTCCCCGTGCTGGGCACCAGAAACGCCATGGGCAGGTGGATGTGTGCTGCATTGGGAAGGTGAAGGTCCTGGAAAAGCCCGTGGGACTCTGCCATTCTAGGGCTCTGAGAACACTGCAGGGTCCACATAGACTGGCGACAGCAATGAGAGGTCGATGCTGGGTGTTTTACACTTGGAGTTTGGGTTTACTTGGAGCCGTTTCTGCCTTTAAGCACTGTGATCAAGTGCTGCTCTGTAAATCTTCCGTTTTGTTCAGAGACACCTCAGCAGTCAGGTGCTCAGGAGGCCCGAGGTGGCCTTCCTGCGACCTGGACGGGTGCCGTTTTCCTATAGCGAACAGGCTACTCTGAAATGATTTTATTTTTTCTTCAAAGGGACGTGAGAGATGGCTTTAGAAGAAAAAGTTTCCACTCTTCCCATTACGGGAGAGACCGGTCTCCTCATAAAAGAGACGCTCCTTTCCTGCGCGATTCCCCCGTGGGCCGCAAGGACTCTCCTCACAGCAGATCCGGCTCCAGCGTCAGCAGCAGAAGCTACTCTCCGGAAAGAAGCAAAACTTACTCCTTCCACCAGTCCCAGCATCGCAGTACGTGCTCTTCCCACCTTCTTTGCTTTTCAGCCTCCACCCACGACAGGGCAGTAGTCTGATTACCTCGCAGGTGTTGTTGCAAGTATGCTTTTCAACTTCTCTTGTAAACTGCAGGCTCATAGAGCTCAGCAGTGTAATGTACGCTGTATACACACACACGTTTTCCAGTTACCTGAAGTGGGTAGTCCCTGTAACGTGACAGACACTTTTCAGTTCCAGAGCTCCTAGGAGAGGCTTCTGTGATCACACTTCGCTGTGTGCTGGTGCGTCAGGCGCCCACCTGCCCCCTCCATCCTGCGTAGTCAGCTGGTGTCCACGTGCGTCAGATAGTCTGTTTCTTTTTTTTTTTTTTTAAAGATTTATTTTTTTTATTATTTTTTCATTGGAAAGGCGGATAGACAGAGAGGAGAGACAGAGAGGAAGATCTTCCGTCCGATGATTCACTCCCCAAGTGAGTGCAACAGGCCGATGCTATGCCGATCCGAAGCCAGGAGCCTCTTCCGGGTCTCCCTCGCGGGTACAGGGTCCCAAAGCTTTGGGCTGTCCTCCACTGCTTTCCCAGGCCACAGGCAGGGAGCTGGAAGGGAAGCGGGGCTGCCGGGATTAGAACCGGCGCCCATATGGGATCCCGGGCGTGCAAGGCGAGGACCTTTAACCACTTGCGCCACCGCGCCGGGCCCAGATAGTCTGTTTCTTATAAGCAGTACCAGTGGCTTCCCCCAAGCATTTGCAGTCTGGTAGAACTTTGAGCTAAAACCTCCCCAGGTTCTTTCTTTCCCAGCCTCTAGCCAGTTTTCCGCTTTGACTTTGGGGTGAATAAAGGTATGTGCGTTTCAGGAGTTGGCTCGTCATCTTGGCCGCAGTACTAAGTGTATAAATCGGTCAGTACCCCTTTGCTAGAGAATCCACTGTCAGCTTTTTTCTAAGATTCGTCATTTATTTGAGAGACAGAGTGACTTGTGGAGAAATGTGCAGAGAGGAGATAACTCCCTTTGCTCTCCCGCCCCCGGTGTGCCAGGAACTTGTTGGGAGGGTCTCCTGTCTGGGTGGCAGCACTCAGGTCCTCGATCCTCACCAGCTGCCACCCAGCAGGATTAGCAGGAGACTGGGTCTGAAGCCGAGCAGTCAGACCGCTGCTCCAGTGTGCTTGATGGGGACTCAAGCATCAAGGGGCCTTGCTGTGTCACAGTGCCCACTCCATTCCAGTGTGCGTGTGAGAGCGTGAGAATTAATTTTATTTGTTTGAAAGCCAGACCCACAGAGCTAGAAATTGATTTTGCATTTGCTAGTCGACTCACTAAATGGTTGTAACAGCCAGCACATGGCCTTGCTGGAGCCAACAGGAGGAGCTTTCCTGTGTCACCCATGGGGGTCCAGGGCCCAGGCACTTGGGCCACCCTGGAAGCTCCTCTCGGGTACACCACCAGGGAACTGGATGGGAAGTAGAGTCTGTTAACAGTGCTGACACTGCAGGTGGCAGCTTAACTCACTAGACCACAACTGTGGATGCCTCTGTTTTATTTATTCATTCATCATCCTGTTCACAGAGTTGAGAAGGATGTGTGACCACGTGGGCCACTGGTTAGGGTGGCGAGAGTTGACGTTTGAACGAAGGAAGGGGAGGCAAACGTTTCCTATTGGTTTCTTTCTCTTTATCTGCACTGGGGGGTTAGGAAGGAATGGGAGGGGAGCTTCCTGCTGTGAAACTGCGTCAGCACCCAGTCCCTCCATTTTTTAATTTTATTATTTTTTTAAGATTCACTTTAATTATTTTCAAGGCAGAGTTGGAGGGAGGGAGGGAAAGAGAAGAAGGTGGCTTCCATCCTCTTGTTTATTCCCCTGGTGGCTTCAAAGGCCAAGACTGGGAAGTGGAGCAGCCAGGGTGTGGGATGGCCCCCAGATGGGATCCTGGCATGTGCACGATGAGGATTTATCTGCTGGGCTGTTGGGCCAGGCCCAAAAGGAATGGTGTTTTATTTCTGTTAAAAGCAACAATAAAGAAGAGAGGTTAGGTAGCTAGTGGAGAAGTGATCACAGGTAGTTGTTGGTGAACTTGCCCTCTTTTTCCAGTTGTCCAAACAGAATGAGCATCTTCCTTTGGTCAGCCTTGGGTCTCACGAAGTGTCCGTGTGTCACCGCAGATGCTCTTGCGTCCATGCCCCCAGGGTGCTGCCCTCGTCCTTGGGGCCCGCGTCTCCACAGCTGTGAGGGCACGGAGCCGGCAGAATTGGGAGACTGAAGTGTGAGTTGCAAACTGGACGGAACAGCACACGATGCCCTCGATGTCGCCTGGCTGTTTTCTTTATTTTACCTTCATAGTAAAATTATTCATTTAGAAAGAGTTTGTTCTGGGAGAACTCACAGGTTAGGTGGATCTCTTCCTTACTGACTGGGGAAGCTGCAAAGATGTGTCGATATTCTCTTGTTTTCAGCATAATCGAGACTGCCCTGTAAAAATTGTCGTTTTATATGTTTATGATACTAGTTTTTGCTTCTGACCATAAACGTGCCCGTGTTGATGGCCCCGTGCCGCTCCTCCAGGAGCTGAGGAACATGTTGCTGCAGCGTTCCCTTGCTGTGTGCTCCGGCAGAAACACAACTTCTGACAGATGATGAGCGTCTTATTGTAAACACAAAATATTTCCATGTACCTGGTTAGTTCATAGAAGTAGCAGGTGAAAGTAACAGATTATTTTCTAATTCTGTGATATTTTTAAGATTTTAATTTTTTTATTGGGAAGGCAGATGTAGGGGCCCGAGGACTTAGCCATCCTCCTCTGCTTTCCCAGGGCATAAACAGGTTGCTGGATCAGAACAGAGTAGCTGGGATTAGGCTTGGCATGCTCAAAGGAGCAGGTGAGTGTGTCGGCCCCTTCAGTGACTTGGAAGCAACCTGGTTAAGATACGTTCTGCGAGATGTGGGTGAGCCGATCTCTCCAGGATTAAGGAGATCTGACTGGTAGCCTTGGCTGCTGTCCCTGGATGTGATGGAGGTCTTACTGCCAATGTCATGTAGCTGATTACAACTTCCGGAACAGGTACCTGCAGTCACTCCCACTAACAAAGGTGCTTTGGCCACTGTACTTCTGTTCTGTATGTAACACTGTATTTCATACTCTTAATTCAAAAGAGCAGAGTTATAAAGAGTTTAGATAAAAGGGAAAAGAAGGATGGGAAAATGAAAACACGAGCTAGTTCTGAGCAGTGGCTGTAGGCAGAGCTATGGTTTGGCCGAAGCAGAGAGCAAAGGAGCAGTGATTGTGTCGGGATCCTGGCTGAGATGCTGCTCGGGGAGGTTGGCCAGATCCGGCCCAAAGAACGCTCCGTGATCTGCAGGAGGGAAGGATTCGTGGCAGAGTGACAGTGACAGTGTGGGAAGAGTGCTGTTTCCTCAGAAGAAAGAGGTGAAATTGCTGTCTTCAGTAGAAGGATTTGAAATAAATGCCAGGTTTGCATCTTAGAGGAAAGTGTGGGTGTCCTGAAGAGTGTATTCGGGCCGTATGGAAGACAGATTCTGTCTTTATCCTTAACTATTTGTACGTAGGCAGGCTACAAGAGTCTATAAAGAGTTGCAAGTTTTTGTTTTTTTTTTTTTTTTTTAAGAAAAGTTCTATTTGAGAGATGTCTAGAGTGAGGAGAAAGACAAGAAATCTCTCATGCAGTGGCTCGCTCCCCAAGTGGCCTTGGTGGCCAGGGCTGAGCCGGTCCAAAGCCAGGAGCCAGGAGCTTCTTCCTGGCCTCACACGGGCACAGGGTCCCAAGGACCAAAGCCATCCTTTGCTTCTTTCCCTAGTGTTAAGCAGGGTGCTGGGTCGGACACGGAGCAGATGCGATTAGAACCTTTGCCCATATGTGATTCTGACACCAGAAGGCCATAGCATTGGCTCTGGAGTTAGATGTGGATCTTTTTTTTTTTAAAAAAAGAGAATGCTTTAAAGATTTATTTATTTGGAAGTCAATTAGAGAAGTCTTTTACCCACTGGTTCACTTCCCAGATGGCCCCAGCAGCAGAGGCTGGGCGCGTTGGCCCTGGAGCTAGGGTTTCCATCCTGAGCAGTAGGGTGTGTTAGCAGTGAGCTGGAACGGAAGTGGAATGGTCCTAGTCCTAGTCCCGTGTGGCTGTCGGAACTTGGGCCACGTGTTGGCCCCTCTTTCATCCTTGATATTGTTTGTGTGTGGGGACCAGGAGGGGCGATCCTTTCTGTGAGCTTTCTGGAGTAAATTAGGTGAGGTGCTTGGTGCAAAGGGAGGGCTGAAGGGCTGAGAGAGGCCTAGCTGAGAGCTTTCCAGGCTGTGGGTCAGTAGGGTTTGCCGTGTTGAAGCACTGTCGTATCTTCATTCTCCATAGTCTCACTTGCTGTGCTCCTTCTCTGGCTCCTTTCTGCACGCGCCGTTCGTGACTGACGACACTTAGCACTTCTGCTCGCCTGGGTCCTTTCTGGGGGTTGGAACTGCCCTCCTCCCTTTGTACGATAAACCGAGGAGCAGGTCAATCAGCAGGATCCGACACAGATTTTTCGCTGTGTACACACAGGAGCCTCAAAAAATACAGGACTTGAGAAATACTGTGCGATTGGACTTTGTATAGCACTGCACAGGGGCTTGGTGCTCCTGGAGGTGCTGGCAGCAAGCCCTGGAGCGGGGCAGGAAGCATTACTTCTGCACACAGTCTTTCCGAAAGCTTGGAGCCGCCCTGGGAGGACTAGGGGCTGCCCAGAGAACCGGCCTGGCTGCATGGGGTCTCTGCCTGGGTTCCTTTGATTTTTATGATAGTTTCTCGTAGATCTGTTTTTAGAGGATTCAGGAGGCCTCAGGAAGCCTGTGCTTGCCTCTGCTGCTTCCTCGTGTGGACAAATGGAAGCTCCCTTCGTAGAAGGGCAGTATTTTAGAACCCTTGCTGTGAGTGCAGTCTCTGCAGAGCCCCGTGTGGAGGTATGTCACAGAAGAGTGTTTGAGATGGCTTTCTTACGACTCCGAAGATGCAGAGGTTTCCTGCTGTTCTTCCTTAGCTGCAGCCAGGGTAGGAAGGAACTTAGGGTCACCAGGAAAAGCAGAGGAGTCCCCTTTCCCGTTGCTTTACTTCTGAGTTCTCATTCTTCCCGGGCACAGAGGTGCTGGTGTTAATTGCTCCCTGCCCACCTTTCCCTAGAGCCCACGCGTGCGGGTACCTTCTACAAACGGCAGAATGAAGGAAAGCCAGAAAGAGGTGAGTTTGCAGCTAGATTTTTGATTTGGAAATGTGAAGGGTTGGGAGGCTTGAATTACGAGAAGCTATGGTAGAGGGAGAAATTGGTAATTTTTCTTTATTCTGTTGTCAGAGCCATAGGTGAAGAGCCAGGGAGAAGAGTTTGAGTAGCCGGAGGTGAAGAGCAGAATCCCTGGCGAGAAGGGTCTTGGGGGGCTTGGGGTCGGCTGGCTGGCTGAGTCCCGAGCCCGGTTAGGCTAGGATTAGGGTCACGCTTTTCTGTTAGCTTCTCAGTTCTTGCTGTCGGTATCGGCTGCTCCTTTGCGCCCTGCCTCTTGCCTTGCTTCTCACGTGCAGCAGGCATATAGGAATATGTGTGCACATTTGGTAAGCCTCCTGCCCTGCCCGTGAGGTCCCAGGACTTCTGCTTGCTTAGTTTGACTGGTAGCCGCCTCTCTCAGCGTGCAGGCCCGGGAGGTTAGGACAGGGGCTTGGGCTGCACTCAGGGATCCTGGTAGCCCCTGTGCGCTGTGCTGATCGGCCCAGCCGCCACGCCTTCCCAAGGACTATTTCTGTGCATGCTGCAGAGGCACCGTGGGTACTCAGGTAGAGGTCACCTCCCGGCCTGGTCCCGAGCGGTCACCCTCATGTAAGGTCTGAAGCTCTGTGGCTCTGGGGATTGTGGACGCTGTAGTAGTTGTTGCCCAAGAGCTCTGCCATGCAGGGGTGGACAGACACTAGCGCAGTTCAGTGTGGAGTTGCCCTATTTAATAAAACAACAGCAAACACCGATGAGATAAAGCCTGGTCTTGGCCGTTTGGGGGGGTAGTGGTGCTCTGTGTAACTCCTCTGTTGATTCTCGTGGTGTACAAGACCTTTGCAGCTTGCTTAATGTGAAGGTTGCTTATAGTAATGCTAATTAAAGGATCCTTCTAGAGCTGTGTCTTTTAAAGAATTGTAGGTGCTTCAAGATTAGAATCCTCTGGTTACAGCCATTGTCGCTCATCTCAGGGCTGCTGGCCCCCTCTTACTGTGTGCTGGTGGCTTGCCCGCTTGGGAGCTTATGAGACATGGTTGTGATGCCAGGGGTCTGTGTGCAACTGGCACAGAAGCTGCCACTCTGAACCTCTGGTCTGCAGAATGCCTCCAGGCGGCCAGGACACAGGGAAGAGGGCTCACGCTCCATCTGGCCTGTGGTCAGAGAGCTGGCACGCACTCCAGCTCTGGCTCTGCTTTGGCTCTCCACTGCTTCCGTCACCTCAGCCCGCATCCAGCTTGACCAGCGTCTGCACGACCTCACACTTGGTGTCTTTTTCCCGTCTCCTCCTGTTACTTGATCTTAGTTGCCCACCAGTTAAGATCAGAGAATTGTGTTTTACTGAACACATGGAACATTTTATGAACTGCAATACCGACAATTGAGTATTATTAATTTTAATGAAATTTAGCTAAATCTATTTTTAAATGGTAGAACCTGCTAAAGTAATACTGTTTAAATGTACTTAAGATTCTGTAAAGAATGCTGTGTACCTACAGCACTGTGTGGTATCCAACTAGAAATACAACAAGGGATACTACAGGGGCTAAAGGCCAGGGTAACTGACTCACAGGTTTGTGATTAAGTAGCAAAGACTGGGAAGGAGTGCCAGGCCCTGAGTCAGCACTTTGAATTGCTGGTTCCTGCTGTGACTTTTGAAAATGTCTTGTGCATTTGAGGGAGGGCTGCCCAGTGGCCTGTGTACAGCATTCCCCACCCGCCCTCATAGCTGTGCTGTCTGGTGCACAGCCACACAGGGACTGTCAGAGCCACCCTCGACTGTGTATGACAGTGTCCCTGGGTGAGCATCGAGGAACATGGGAGAGGGAGCCCCTGGCTGCAGGCTCTGCTTTGCCCTCCTCCAGGCACTCTCTGTGGCCACTTGTTTGCTAACTGGCACTGGATGGCACATGCTTTGCTTCTGAGTTTCTGAGTTTTGCTGGGGTTGGCCTCAGAAAGAGTCAGGTGGTTTTAGACAAGAACGTACTTCATGTACGTCAGTGCTGATGGTGTGCGCTCCCTGTCTCCCCACCCCGCTTAGTTATAACCAAGTGAAACCAGAAGATTGCATCTCCTATTTTCTTATCTAGGTAAAGAGAGACCTGCCCAGTCTTTGAAAACATCACGAGACACTTCGCCATCGAGTTCTTCAGCGGTTCCTTCATCAAAGGTTTGTTTTAGTTCTGCAATCCGAGTAGGAACAACGATCAAGTAAATGAGATGAGCTGTCTTGGGCAGGTGATTCTGCTCTTCAATCTCACCTGCAGGGCAGATTTGCAAGGGGAACAGCTGCCAGACAGAGTGTTTCTGTGCACTGTGCCCTATGGTGTGCTGCTGTGAGTGGTAAATGCTGCAGCCGTGGCTCGAGGAGGCATGAATGCACAGGTTTCAGGATTGTACTGGGCTAGGGAGGAGGAGGCTCATGGGCACACATTTTTGTGTAACTGCTGGATCCCGAGGTGGCTATTTTCCGCTTATGTCAATTCATACAAGTCCTGAGACATGGGTGTGCGCCTGTCTGCATTCTGTAGCAGTGGCTCAGAAGGGGACCCACGTTCTCCAGTCCCAGGCACGCTTAGCTGCATCATTCTCCCCCAGGCTCTGAGGACTTGCTTCTGATCCTTAGAAGTTACAGATGGGCTGTTGCTTGGTCACAGGAACCTGCAGTTTAGTGGTTCTGTTCCCAGGAGGCACCCCTTGCTTTTGGCTGTAACATGGGTTGTTACTTTTTTCCCCACTGTGTGTTATTCTGTCTGCTCTGTCCTGATTTCCTAGCATGAGTAAATCAGGAGCCAGTAACAGTACATGTTTCCCGCAAGCGCAGGGATTCCACCCCGGGGCCTTGCCCGCCTGCGAGATGGGCTCAGTGTGGGTTGGCAGGCAGTAAGTGACAGAGTTACCGCTGCTGCTGGTGCCTGCTCAGGAAAAGTAAATCAATGTGATAGATTCTGTGCCAGGGCTTCAGGACAGAGCAGGTGGGAATCTGCCGTACCGGGGTCAGCCATTTTGACGATAGTTTTGTGTTACGTAGTAACAATTTTGCTGTACAAACCTGCCTGGAAAAAAGGATCATAACACCAGAATTTTAAATTTCTCATTATTTTGTGTGTTGGGACAGTGCAGCTCTTTACGGGAGCTATGAAAAAGGTGTTTTTTTTTCCTTCTCTTTTTAAGAAAATTATTAATCTGGGACACAGACAGAGAGAACACTCCTGCCTGCTGGCTCAGTTCAGTTAGGGTTGGTCTAGGCCCAAGCTGGGTCAGACCAGGAGCCAGGAAAGCGGGGCAGACTCTCCTCGGAGTAGCAGGAACCCACAGCTGCGGGTCACTGTTGCTGCCCAGGTGGGACGCTGTGTCTGGCGGAGTCTCCGGCTGCTGGTGCTCACCACCAGACCGATGTTTCCTGCAAGAGATGCTTCCAGTGTGTGGATTCAGTGTCAGCAGAGCGGGAGCATGGGTGTATAGTAGCTTTTTCCTTGTTTTTAGAGACAGTACATTATAAGCTTTGTGTTAAATAGATAGCCCTTTGACCAGTTAGAAACCTTCCTGAGCCTGCCTGCGGTCATTTCTTTCTGGGTCCATGTCTGAGCCTCAGTCTCCTCTGTGCAAAACGCTGGCTAGTCTAGACTTGGCTGGACGATGTCTCAGCCATTGCTTGCTTAACTAATACACATGAGCGTTCCTTTTTACAAAAGGACAGCTTTTCAGAGCCCTCTCCCCTGGTTGTTGAGCTCTGTAGTTTCTCTAGTAAGCAGGTCAGAGTGGGAAGGGGGAGTGGTAGCAAACATTTCCTGGCTGGCGCTCAGTCCCGGCTTCTCTGAGCTGAACCTGGCTTCCTGCTCATGTGCCCTGGGAGGCAGCAGGTAATGCTGCCTGCTTGAGAGATGGGAATGCAATTCCAGCTTTGCCCCCGGCCTGGCTCAGCCCTCATCGCACAGTTACCCTAGACAAAGCAGAGACCAGCAGGCATTTAGGAAGCAAACAAATGGGAGGTTTCTTTCTTTGGTGTTCAGGTAAATCAAAATAAATAATAAAATTGTGCCTTTTAAGTTCCTGGACACAAGTGGAATTAAAAGATGTTTATCTTATCACTCCTCCCCAGTTGAAACTCACATGTAGTTTTGACATACATGTTTCACATGAGCTTTCTGAAGATCTCTCAGCTGAGTAAAGTTTTAAAAAACTTTCTGTTGCATAACACTTAACCTTGCAAATCTGCTTTCCAGGAATGTTTTACAATACTTTCCTGTGTTCACAAAAGAAAGAGAGAGAAAGATAGAAAAAAAAAAAAAAAGAAAGAGGGAAATAAAGAAGTATTGTTACAGACCTGCTCCAGAACTGGCTGCACTCTCCCATGTGCTGTGAGCTGGGTGCCGGTGGGGATAGCAGGAATCCTGCGGAGCACAGGTGAGGCGGGCTGCTGGGGCTCAGGCCCAGGTTCCCTGGCCTTGCAGGTGAGCAGGGCCTGGTCAACTGGCCTGCCTGTGCTGGGCAGTGGCATGTAGGTCCCATTGTGTTTCCTGAGACAGCAGGGGTGGTCTCAGGTCTAGCTAGAGTCCTTTTGTTTGATCAGGGCCCAGCATTCCCTCGGTCCTGGCACCTTCCGTGTGGGCCCCTGCCGTCAGTGTGATTCCAAGGCCTGGCACACCAGAGAAAGAGGGAACGTCTATAGCCAGGGCAGGGAGCCTTTCTGGAGCAACAAAACTTAACCTGTGCCACTTGATTAAATTGTGTTTAATGATAATGCCTTTTGTCATTTGTGTTTGAAGACTTTATAAAATGTTGAAAACTGTAGATTTGGAGTTGTATTTGTCCTGTCATTGAGATGGGGCATATGTAAAATTAATCACAGGACTTCAAAGAAGAGAAGCAGTCACAGAGTGGAGTACCAGGGCCTACAGGGTGGAAATGTGCTGTGTGGACACCAAGTGGAATCCTAACATAGACCTTAATATTGAGGGAAGTAAGATCTGTGATCCAGGACAGAGTTTAATTTCTTCATGTTTATATTGATCCCCATGAAGTAATGGAGTCTCCTCGGAGGCTTCTGTGCATTGGATTTGCATCAGCAAAACGTGGAAAAGGAAGAAAAGCTGAATTTCCAAGCATTATTCAGGATCCTTTGACGTCTGTTACCTCTTAGTTTTCAGTTATGTGAAATGAACATTACTAAGCCCTATTTCATTGCAGTGTTGTAAAGTACGTGTATAAAGTCATCTTAGACCTGGCGTGTGCTTCACGTGAAGTGAAAGCCGGGTCTGGGAGGAGCGTGGTTATGCCTCCTGGGATCCGACTGTGTGCTGTGCACCTGGGAGGAAGAACGGGCTGGCTTAAACGCAAGCCCTGCCACTCACATGGGGTCTCTGACTCCTGACTTTGGCCTGGCCATCTGGGGAGTGAGCCAGTGAGTGGAAGATGGCCCTCCCTTTCCTTTGCCCCTTCCCTCTGGCAGTCCAGCTTTCAAATAAATAAATAAATGTTTAAAAGCCCGGAGGTCTTCTCTAACTCTGTAGCTATAGTTTATTTACTATTGAATGTGGTTGGAGAAAGGACGTACTTGTAAAAGGAAGTTAAAACATCTTGCGGAAGTAAGATTTATAGGGTTACACATGTAGTAATGGTGAGCTTGATCTAAAGAGATTTCATTCTGTTTTGTGGGATGTAGGTAGTGTTGCAGAGTTCAGTTCGGGGTGTTGTCTTTTGTATTCTGTTTACAGTTAGTGTGTGAATTGCCAGTGTCTTTTGTTGTTTGGAGTGTATCTCTTCCGTGTGGATTTGAAGGCTCACGATCTTAAGTGAAGACTGCTGCTTGTTGTGTCTGAAGCTCGCAAGCCTTGAGAATTGTAACTGAACGGTCCACTCGCTTTTGTCAGACGCTGGACAAGCCCAGCAGACTAACTGCGAAGGAGCTTGCGGAGGCTGCGAGCAAGTGGGCGAGCAAGTGGGCTGCTGAGGAGCTGGAGGAGGTGGATGAAAGGAACTTGCCAGATATTTCCAAGTATGAGGTAAGGTCCGCCCTGTGAGAGCCATAGCCAGCATGCAGTGACTGCCATTGTCATCACCTTGTCTTTCAGTGTCTCTGCTAGTTTGGAAGCTTAAGAACAGTGTAACACGGTTTTAGAGAAACCTAGCACCTGGGTCTACCTGTCCACAGCAGGAGATCACTGGAGAGCAATGAGCCAGGCAGCTTGTGTGTCAGGGTTGTTTGGGATGGAGACTGAGGAGAGAGCTGTGCGGGAACTCATGGGGGGGGGGGTGGTTCCTGGGGAACCCTCCTTTGGTTCATCACCAGTGTGTTCTTTTGGGGGTTTTGAGGACAGGAACGTGGACTTCTGTCACCCTGAAAATACCCTTCAGCCTACTGAAATAAATGGCTACTCCTTCACCTAAGTGAGTTCATTCTAGTGAGAGATTGATTTGCAATATTAAGGGAAGGTCCTAACAGGATCTAATCACAAACTAGTACATTGGTTTGAAAAATTGATTTGACCTTGGATTACGGGCTCTATTGATATTAGGTATCAGAAGAAAGATGTCTTCCACCCGCTAGTTCACCACACAAATGGGTGCAACAGCCAGGGCTGGGTCAAGCTGAGACCATGAACTTCAAACAGGTGTCGTATGTAGGTGCAGGACCGCAAGCCCCTGGGCCATCTTCTGCCATTCTCTCAAGTGCATTGGGGAGCTGAATCTTTGGTTCTTAAGCAGTGGACTTGGACAGCCTGTGGAGTATCAGCCTTTGAAATTTCACGTGGAAGTAATATGCTTACGTACGTTTTTGTAGTCTATGAAAAGATTTTTTGTGCACTGCTCATGTGAAGAGCAAATCCTGTCAGAGTTGAGTCTTTTAGGAACATGGATGTGTCCTTCAGGTACCCACTGTCCTTAAATAGGTCAGTTCCTCTCTGTTACTGTAGCTCTGCGGGTAGATGTGTGTGTGCTTGCTGGGCTCTAGCTGTGTGGGTGGATACACAGTTGCTTGTGAATGGCTGTGTGGGTAGGTAACACATGATGTTGTAGCTGTGTAGGTTGCTCTGGCTTCCAGCTGTGCCTGTGGATACTTCCATGTGTTTGAGTAACTGTATCCAAAAGCTCAGCATGCCCTTTGGCATTTTTCCGTTACTACTGAACAGTGTTAACAATGTAGTAGAAAGAAAAATACCTTTGACATGGTCACTTTGGTGATTTAATAATTTAAAATAATGATTTTTATGTTACTAAGTATTATATAATTTTATAAATTGCTTTTTTAGAATAAGACTGCTTATGTCCTTAATATTTTATCTTTAATTAGCAAGACTTTATGCAGGCTTCATTTATGTGGAATATGAACAGCAATAGTAGTAATTAATTCCCTCCATGTCCCCCCACCTCCTTTTTTGTGGTAATTTAAAGCAAAATTTTATTTTATGGCACTGGTCCGTAGGCTCTGGGATTTCCCTTCCCCCTTCCCAAATCCTTTCACTCCCCTCACTGCCCCACCCTAATATTACTGCAATAGTGTAGTCCATCATTCTGCTACTAATTGTATCCTGACATTGTAGGTGTGGACAGTGGCAGAGAGTCCAGCATCCTACTGTCAAGATACATTTAAGTTTCATAGGGAGCCATCTTTGCTTTGGAAGTAGAGACGCATACTGCATTGTATCTTCACATCTGGATATGATAGTTACTATACATCCCCTTAAATGAAAAGCCATAAAACAAGATCAACAACAGAAAGAAAATAGAAAATTAACAACATGAAGTTAAATAATATGCTACTGGATGATTCATATATCACTGAAGAAATGAAAAAGAAACAAACTTTCTTGAGGAAAGTGATGCTAGTCTATGACCTGTGTGTCACTAAAGAAATTAATAAGGAAAAAAAACTCTGAAGACACAAAAACAAAATATCAAAACCCATGAGATGTACCAAAAAACAGTATTGAGAGGGTCATTTATAATATCAGATGCCTACAGAAAAATAGAAATATCTCAGATGATTAATAATCCATTTCATGAACTTATTAAAGAAAAAGGAGACAAGAAATGATGAAAATCACAGCAGAAATAGATAGAATTGAGACTAAACAACTACAGAATGCAAGAAAAAAGAGAAAAAAGAGCCACTTTTTAAGAAGATGAGCAAAGCAGACTTTTAGCCAGACTAGCAAAGAAAAAAAAAAAAAAGCAAGAAAGAAAAACCAAGTGAAATTAGATATGAAAAAGAAAGCATTCTAAAGACCTGGTGAGTCAATCCCTTCTTCCCGGATGGATCTTCTGGTCATCATGTGGGGTCCTTCTTCATCTCTTTTAATATTTCCCATGTCAAAGTCCATGTTATCTGATATAAGAATGGCTGTACCAGTTCATTTTTCCTTCCCGTTAACCTGGGAGATCTTTTTCCATCCTTTCACTTTCCGTTTCTGCATATCTTTGTTGGTGAGATGTGTCTCCTGTAGGCAACAGCTAGGTGGATTTGGGGTTTTTTGATGCAGTCTGCTAATCTATGACACTTGATTGATGAGTTTAAGCCTTTTTACATTCAGGATTAATATGGACAAGTGGTAGTTTAGTCCTGTCATTTTAGCAATGGGTTATTCTTTGATTTAGTCTTCTGTTGTCCTTTTACTGGGATGTTCTACCCATTTGCCTTTCGCTCTGGTGGGTGTTATTCCTTTTCTGTCGAGAGAATACATTAAGTATCTTTTGTAGGGCAGGTATGAAAGAGGCAAACTCTTTGAGGTTTTATTTGCTGTGGAAGAATTTTATTTCATTTTTAAAGACAAAGGAAAGTGCTGCTGGGCTGACCGTTTTTTCCTTTTAGAGTTTGGAGTATGTCACTCAATTCTCTTATGCCCTGTAGCATTTCCTCTGAAAGGTGAGCTGTGAGACTGATTGGGATTCCTGTATATGTCAGTTGATTTTTTTTTCATGTCTACATTTAAGAATGTTTTTTAAATAAATCGTTTTGTTGTTGTTTTTAAGATTTATTTTACTTTTATTGCAAAGTCAGATATACTGAGAGGAGGAGAGACAGAGAGGGAGATCTTCTGTCTGATGATTCACTCCCCAAGTGACTGCACCTGCTGGTGCTGTGCTGATCTGAAGCCAGGAGCCAGGAACTTCCTTCAGGTCTCCCATTCAGGTTCAGGGTCCCAAGGCTTTGGGCCGTCCTTGACTGCTTTCCCAGGCCATAAGCAGGGAGCTGGATGGGAAGTGGAGCTGCTGGGATTAGAACTGGTGCCCACCCAGCCATATATTTGCAGTGAAAAACTGGGCAAACAGAGACTCTAAGATGGACTTTGTCAATCAGTGGATTCTTCAGCAACCTCATTGTGCTTGGAGTGGCGAGACTGGCAGCAATTCAGAACTGTTAAACTATCAGAGCTACTTGAGCAAGACCCTCGGAACATATCCCATATCAGGAACCTGGGATGGGTAGGAGACTGGGTGGGGCTTCTCCCTTTACCTCCCCTTTTTCCCCAGATATAGGAGAAAAAAAAATATGGAAATAATACTCTTACCCACTTTCCTGTAGCCCTTGAACCTTTGTGCCTTAATTATTACGTAAAGATTGTCAAAAATAAAGAAAAAAAAAAACCCAAAAAGAACCGGTGCCCAGTGGGATCCTGGTGTGTTCAAGGTGTGGACTTAGCTGCTAGGCCACTGCACGGGCCCCATTTAAGGATCTTAGGGATCTTTTCCCTGTGCAACTGAAGTGGGCTTGGTTATCATTACTCATGGCAAAGATTGCTTTTGGTCAAACTGAGCCTCTTCTGGATGTTGTTTCCCAATTCTTCCTCCAAATTAGTGAAGTTTTCCTTTATTATTTCATTAAGTACATCTTTAAACCCGGCTTCTCTTTCTTTGCCTTCTGCAACTCCTGTAACTCACGTTTGGCCTTTTAGTGGTGTCCTTTCATTCTTGAATACTTTTCCTAGCTTGACTCAGTTTCTTTTCCAGCCTTTTGGTTTTTCCCTCATTACTGAAGGAAATGACTTCCAGTTCAGAGATTCTTTCTTGTGGCTTGCTCATTCTACTGCTGAGGCTTTTCACTGAATTTTTAGTTTGCCCCATTGTGGTCTTAATTTCTAGTGCATCAGATATCATTTGATTCTTTGCTGCTATTTCCTGTATAACCTATTCTTTAAGTTCCTTGAACTCATGTACGTTGTTAAGGTTTTTAAGTATTTCTGTCCCCCATTTTCTCAGCTAACTGTGAGGTTGACAAAAGCTTTTGCTGTTGTGCGGGGAAGACATCAGTAATATTCATTGGATATCTTTCTTTTGTTCTTGGTCATGGCTAATGTGGTTAGCAGATTCTTCTTAGAGCCAGTTTTAAGATGTGTTGCCCGCAGGTCTATAGGTCACTTGGACGGGTTGTGTTCAGTCGCTGGTTCTTTATTGCAGTCACTTGTGCCACTGCCTCCAGCGAGTTTCAGTCTCGCCATACCCTGTTTCTTTGTCTTTTTTTTTTCTCCCCCCCAGGAAGATGTATTAATTTTAAAGGTACATTAATTTGAAAACACAGTTACAGAGAGGACAGGAGGCAAAGGGTGTGAAGGAAGGCTGGGACTGTTGCTTGTCTCCATCGAGGGGGATGCTGATGGGGAGGGTCACTTCCTCCCGCTGCTGTGGGTGGTCCAGGCAGATGGGTGGTCCAGGCAGATGGGTGGTCCAGGCAGAGGGGTGGTCCAGGCAGAGGGGTGGTCCAGGCAGATGGGTGCTGGTCACACTGGACAGTTCTGAGGTGTTCGTGGTGCTTGATCTACCATAGTAACAGTGTGCTGGGAGAAGGGAGCTCTTGGCGTGCTAGTTGTTACTTCAGTGGGAGTGGGATCTTGATCCTGGTCCTGTTGGTTCCTGCGTGATCTGAAGTGTGAGGAAGAGCTTGGATGTGATTTTTGTGTGTACTCACATGTGTCCGGGCACATACAGATCTGTTGAAATAGTGGTCTCCGCCTCAGGAATACCAGCAGGTAGATAGGTGTTGATGAGCTGACCGAGGCTGAATACTGAGGTTTCCAACTTGACTGCTGCCATCAGTAAAGTTTTAAAACATTTGGAAAATTCTGTAGTCCCTGCAAAGTCCAGTGAACTTGAAAATAAATTCAGCAAAATGGCTAAGTATTCAAGCATATCATGCCCCTTCCTTCTGTTCAGTTTTTGTCTTTTGTCTTTCCGGCCCTGTTAGAGGATTTCTGAGAGTACTTGACCTTGATTCTGAGGGCTGTTAATGGTCCGAAGCAGAAAAAAAAGAGCTGTTGGCTGTTACGTTTGAGAAATGCTTCCCACAGAGGTTTGGAAGCTGGGACGAGCAGTTTATGCTGCTGCTGCCTGTGCCAGCTGTTGCCTGTGTGTGCACCGGTTCAAGTCCTGACTGATGCATTGCTGATCCAGTTCCTTGCTGACGCTGCTGGGAAAGTACTTGGGCCCTTGCCACCCCTGTGTACCCTGACAGAGTCCCAGGGCTGACTTTGACCTGGTTCATTCCCAGTTGGTACAGCCATTTGGGGAGTGAACCAGAGGATCTCTTCTGGTAAATTCTCTAAAACTCTGCTTTCTAGGTAAGTAAACAGATGTGTGTGTGTGTGTGTGTGTGTGTGTGTGTGTGTGTGTGTGTGTGCGCGCGCGCGTGCTTTTCTTCCTTTTCCCAAAAAAGATAGTTTGGCCTTCATAATGCTGTGCTTTTCAGAGGTGCTGAAGTATTAATATGGTTGCTTGATCTATGAGGAAAGAACCTGAATTATAAACTTTTAATTGTAAATTATTTTCACAGTGCTTTTATTAATTTATTTTCTTCTGAGTTAGGGTATCAGCACATACAATTTCAGAGGCAAGCACTGTGCTGACTTCTAGTTTCTTTAAATTCACTCTTCACTGTGAGTGTAATTGGGGCAAACAGTGCATTAGAAAGCATCAACCAAGCTGTCAGGAGATTGAAAGTAGATTTTATAGATTTCCTAATTTACTGTCCGTAAATTGGCAGCTGGGAAAGTTTTGTGTGGAAGGCAGATTATGTGAGGGTTCTTGGAAGTTGGAAACAGTGGACTTCCTGCTGAAGAAGGAAAGCTCACCATTTTTTCCTTAAAGTTTTATAACATTCATTTAATTATTTGAAAGGTAGAGTGTCAGAGAGAGGGAGAGATCCTTCCTTTGCTGCTTTGGTTTCCCATGTGGCTGGCAGCGTCCTGCTGCCTTTCCAGGAGTGGTCAGAGGGAGCCGAAGTGGAGTCGGCGTCGTCAGGACTCAAGAGTGGGGACTCTGGTAGGGGATGACTTGCAGGTTCGTGTACCTGATCCAGCTCCCTGCCGATGGTCTGGAGAAAAAGTTGCGGAAAATGGTATAAATGTTTGAGACTTCCACATAGGAGACCCAGAAGTAGCCCCTCTTGGCTTCAGCTGGACACAGGCCGTCCTGGCTCCTGGCTTTGGCTGGACGCAGCCATGTGGAGAGTGAAAGCACATGCAGTTTCTGTGTTGCTCCCTTTGTCTTTCTGCCTTTGACTTTGAGCTATCTAAATAAGGAAAGAAATATTTTGAGCTGAGCGTCCTAATTGACTGCAAAGCCCTAGTATGAATTTCGTAAAGAGCCAGGCGAGTCAGGCACTCAGACCAGGGGTAGAGCAGGCCAGTGTGTGAGCAGGTGACAGGATCCTTCTCCACGCTCAGAGCAGTCACAGTTCATCTAAACTCTGTTGCTCTGCCCTTCAAGTCAATGAAAAGAAATGAAAATAAGCACTAGAAAAAAGAATACTTACTGGTTGACAATTAACCCATTTTTTTGCTGTTCTGTGACCTGCCAGATCAGACCACTAGCAGATTTTGGTGTCTGGTGAGGGCCTGGCCCATGGCCAGCTCTGCACCTGCAGTGCAGCGCCCCCAGCAGGAGGGAACACTAGTCCTCCTGTAGCAGGCAACCAGAAAGAGCCAGTGGCCTGGTCACCTCCTGATGCTGCCTGCGTCTGTGACAGTTGAAGTTGGACTTTTCTGGAGGACTGTTATACCCATAGCAGCCGCAGGTCCCTGTGAAACCTGGAATTCCCATTTTAAATTTTGAGTGTGTTCTGAACATGAGGTTTTTGTTTTTGTTCTTGCTGTTTTTTCATTGAACTAGTCAAAATGCTAAGAGACTTACTTGATCTTGGCTTTAGTGCTTTGATAGTCTCCAGGATGGACGGTTGTCTGTGCTGAGTCCTGGGCCCTTGTCCCGCGATCCAGTGGTCTTTGCTTCTCTTACAGCCCTGGAGCCCTGGCCCTTTAGTCCCTGCATTTCTTCTGAAATGGTAGAGCTGGTGGAAGTAGATAATTTAGGAGGACACTGGGAGTTTACAGGAAAGTAATGTGGATCTAAGGGCTTGATGCTAGAATTCTACCTCACTGAAACTGAAATTGATTTCTCAAGAGATCCTCAGGCTTTGGGGTTGAATACATCAGGATATGAGGAGTCCTCAGAAGTGTACAGGAAATGTGCATTAATTCAGTTGTGAAGTGGCAATGACACACGATTATGTGCATGTCTTCCGTCTGCTGGTTAGTTCCTCAAATGGCTGCTGTAGTCTGGCCTGGGCTAATAGGCCAAGAAACAGGTCTTCCAGGTGGATGGTACACACTGAAGGATTTTAGCCATCTGTTGCGTGCCAGCCACTGCACTGGCCAGCTGTGGCAATATGGCACCAACTGTGAAATGCGGACATTCTTTTTTTTTTTAATAGCATTATTTTTTTATTATTATTATTATTTTTTTATTGGAAAGGTGGATATACAGAGAGGAAGATCTTCCGTCCGATGATTCACTCCCCAAGTGAGCCGCAACGGCCGATGCTATGCCGATCCGAAGCCAGGAGCCTCTTCCGGGTCTCCCACATGGGTGCAGGGTCCCAAAGCCTTGGGCCGTCCTCGACTGCTTTCCCGGGCCACAGGCAGGGAGCTGGATGGGAAGCGGGGCTGCCGGGATAGAACCAGCGCCCATATGGGATCCCGGGCATGCAAGGCGAGGACCTTTAACCACTGCACCACCGCGCTGGGCCCTGGACATTCTAAGTAGCAGCTCAAAATGCTGCAGCACACAGGACCTGCTCATTATCTCTGTCTGTCCACACTGATGGCGGTGCTGTCACTTCTGTTCTTGTGTACACTGTCTGCTGCCTACCTGCTTCTCTCTCCCCCTCTTTCTCTCTGGTGGAGGGAGGGATGCAGGAGGAAGGACACAATTGACAATATATTGATCATGAACAACCAGTGAGATTACTTACTAATAAAATATTGCTGTGAAATAGTGTGATTATTGTTTTGTGAAATTGTTTATTTTAATGGTTTTAATCAATTTTCAGGTGGTTGGAACAAGATGATTTGAGTTCTGAAAGTGGTGGCCCCCTTTTTTGTCCTTTTTCCTTTTAATAAACTGCTTGTGTACACACCTCTCATTTGCAGTTGGCTTTTTCCGTTTGAAGGTTGTAGAGCTAGATTGCTGAAGGGGTAGTCACTAATCCAGCTTTGGACGACTTCTAAGGCTGTATTTCCTCTTTCATTCTGTTCACCCGTGCGCCTGTATGTAATAAAATTGAAGAAAGTAAGTTTTTGCATTACAAGTCCTAGCACTTGCTTGAGTGTAACCTAGTCCAGCTGTCAGAGCATTCCCCGTGCTTTGAGAAAATCATGACCCACTGTGAATTCCTTTTCAAGGCGGAACCCACGGCACCCGAGGAACCTGAATCCAGCGCACCTGAAGGCGTGGAATTCTTTGAAGACAGCCAGCTCAGCACTCGCTCTAAAGCAATAGCGATGAAAACCAAAGAGATTGAACAGGTGAGAGTCCGCTCTTCTCCAGTCCGTCCGTGTTCTTCGCACACGTTCATTGAGTTCTTAGATTGCGTTGGTCTTACCCGCTGGGGTGCTGAAGTTGCAGTTGAAAAAATTTTTAATTTAAACTAATTTTAGTCATTGTGATTACTGTAGTTTCCTGTCCTTGTTTTTTTTTTTTTTTTTTTTATAAAATAAGGATTTTTTTTTTATTTGCTTAGAGAATACAATTATTTAGTTAAAAAAGAACTCTTAGACATTGCATGGAAGATTATAAAGAAAATGTTAGCATGTTTTTTAATACTAGGGTTAGATATATTTCATGTTTTTCATGTGCGTTTAAGTTTTTTCCAACTATTACATAGAGTATAAAAGATAATGTTTAAAGCTAATTTTTAGCAGTAAGTTTCTGAAAAGCAGGGTCTTTTTTGATTTTTAACCCACCTAATAAGCTGTTATAATTTTACAAGAATTAAATGTGGAAATGCTTTCTGCAGTGTCACTTGTTGTATAGGCAAGTTTCATGTTTTCACTCTCCAGAGTTTGAAGTAAATGTCCCTAAATTGTTATATAATCATGTAAAAATCATTAGAAATTGTAAGAAAGTCAAGACTTTTTCTCAAGGTGGTAATTTTCACATAGATTCAAAAATTCTCTGCCTTGGTTAAAGGGGACTTAACCTGAAGGTGTTTCGTTGTTGCACCAATGGCAAAAAGTAGCCAGAACTAAAATAGGAGGTTTCCATGCATGTCAGTAGTTTGGAAGTGAGAGTAGGGGGTCTCTCATCAGCTGCTTTGCTTTCCCAGCAGCCAGTGGAGCAGCTCAGACCCTAACCAGAACCTGTATGGTTGGTCGGCTTCAGGCTGTGGTTTTAATTGCCATGCCACAGCTCTAGCCCCTGTAGGTTTATCTTAAAGCCCCGCCTTGTGGTGTTTTTCCATGTCTGCTTACACTGTAATGGGTGCACACAGAGTACTGTGTTCTGTGGACTGCTCTGCCTCCATCCCTGCAGTGGCAGGCGATTCCCATAGGCTCCCATGCATCATGGATGGAGCTGCAGTCTTGAGTGTGATCAATGAGCAAGTCATTGGCTGCACTCCGGTACTGTGTCATCATCCTGCCTGGCCCGGACGCAGATCCTAAGGCTCTGCTCTTTTGCAAGCATGTGCACTTTCCTTTTAAAAACTATAGAATAACATAACATGTTTAAAAAAGATTTATTTGGGCAGGTGTGCTAGTGTAGCAAATTAAGCATCCACTTGTGACACTGGTTTCCCATATGGGTTTGAGTTCTAGTCACATCTGCTCAGTTCATATCCAGCTGCCTGCTGATGGATCCAGGAAAACCGTGGAAGATGGTCCAGGTGCTTGGGCCCCTGCAGCCATGTAGGAGATCCAGGGCAAGCTGCAGGCTCCTGGCTTCACCCTGGCCCAGCTCACGACAAAGCGAACCAGCACATGGAACACCTCACTTCATGTCTGTCTAACTCTGCCTTTAAATAAACAGATCGCTTTTAAGAGGTCTGTTTGGGGCCCGGTGCAGTATCCTAGTGGCTAAAGTCTTCGCCTTGCATGCACCTGGATCCCATGTGGGCGCTGGTTTGTATCCTGTGGCTCCACTTCCCTTCCAGCTCTGCTTGTGGCCTGGGAAGGCAGTGGAGACAAGCACGGATGTCTTCGACCCACTGGTTCACTCTCCAAACGATGACAGCAATTCAGGTTGGAGCGGAGTGAGGCCAGCACCAGGAGCTTCTCCCGGGTCGCCCACACGGGAGCAAGAGCCTGGGGAGTTGGGCCGTCCTCCTGCTTCTCCACACCTGTAAGAGGGACCTGGCTGGAAGTGGAGTAGCCAGGACTCGAACTAGAGTTGTGTAAGGAATGTGAGCATCACGGGTGACATTTTGACTTGCTCTGCCGTAACATAATCCCTCAGTAATGCAGCTTTGGAAAAGATTTATTTCTATTGGAAAGTCGGATTTACAGAGAGAAGCAGAGACAGATAGATCTTCCATCCTCTGGTTCACTCCCCAAGGGGTCATAACGGCCGCAATGGCTGAGCCAATCTGAAGCCAGGAACCCGGGACCTCTTCTGGGTCTCACGCAGGTGCAGGGTCCTAAGGCTTTGGGCCGTCCGCTGCCTTCCCAGGGCACAAGCAGGGAGTTGCAAGGAAGTGGAGCAGCATGGGACACAAACTGGCTTTCAGATGGGATCCCACACGTGCAAGGGAAGGACTTTAGCCACTAGGCTACTGCGCCAGGCCCTAATGTAGTGTTTTTAAACAAAGTATTTAGTAATTTGCCCAGGAAAGAAGTCTTACCCGTAAAAAATAATTTCTGGACCTTTAAGTACTGCAGATAACATTTGGCACTCACGGTGTTAGGTTTATTTTTTTCTTGTCACGGGACCCTGGAAATGGGCGTGTGCGTGCGGAAAGGAGTGGTGTAATGCGTTTTCCCCGGGTGTGCTGCAGTGCAAGGCTTCTGTCTGTGGCGGGTCCACACGAGCACGTGATGCTGCCACACAAAGCAGGGTTAGAGGGGACGCTGCAGTCGGCTGGGTTTTCCGGCACAGCTGGGGGAGGGGTGCCTTTTGACCCTCATTGCATTAGAAACAGTCCCGTATTAAATGCTGCTAATCCAAACAAAAATTTTGTTTCTAGTTTTCCTGTTATTCTTACCTAAGTTTATTTGACGTTCCAGTCTGTTGTTTTACTAACAAACACGACGCAGACTCCACACAAAAACAGTCACTTATACTAACGGCTCACCGTTTTTGACAGTTAATACATATAGTAGCTGCTTTATTGAAGGTGTGTGCGGCAGTGTTAGTTTTTAGTAGTGTGGTAGAATTCTGGGTTATGGATCCATTGATCAGTGTTTAACGTAAATGTCAACATTACCTATATGCCGTATGTAAATTTCAGCTGACTGGACTCCCCAGCTCACGCACACCTTTAAGTAGATTATCTTTAAGACTGATCTGCTGTTTGGTGGGTAGCAGCTCCTCCCGGCGTCGGCATGCTGTGGAGGAAGCCGTGCCCGGTAGGTGCAATGAGGACAGCCTGTGGGTAGTAGGGTGCCTTGGTGTGGGTGTGGGCAGACAGGACTGCCACGTGTCCCTCTGGCTCTTGGAAGGAGCTCGGTCACTGTCGGCCAAGTCCTTAGCGTGCAGTTGTAGCACCAGGTGGACTACTAAATAATAAATTGAAATCATTTCCCAGTAACTACAGGTTTTACTAATATTATAGATAAGAAAAATGATAGATTTTGAAAATATGTGTTTTCATTCATACATAATGGGATTTATGGACTCTGATAACTGCATACTCTATTTTTAAATTTTTATTTCGAATGATGCTTACATAGTTGATCAGGGTGGGAAGGATCAAAGGTCGTGGAAAAGTGGGTGTGATCATTTTTCCAAGTTTTCTATTTTTCCTGTATCTGAGGGGAGGGGAGAGACGGGAGAAGCCACCCCCAGCCTCCCACCCACTCCAGCACCCAGGGATGGGAGCAGCCACCCGATGTCAACCCAGGGTCCTGATGTGGCACACGCACGGAGGGTTATGCTCAGGTGGTTGTGATAGTTTTGAAACGCCCAGCTCACCAATCCAAGGATGAGGGATCACTTTGAACGTCCATCGGCTGACATAGTCCACCTTAGGGTCTCCGTTCGCCCAGATGTTTGCTGTCACCGTTGGGCTGGGGTAGTTGTCCAGTTTGTTCTGTTCTTCTTCCCCTGCTATGGTAGCAGATGTCCTCTGCAGGCCACCATGGGCTGTAGTGTCCCCTATGTGGATCTGAGCCATCCGTCCACTACTCCAACTTTACTACTGAGGAGGATCAATTCTCACAGGTGGGTCTAAGGGCCAAATTCAGACGACCCAGACCCCACCAGATCCCCCTCCCGGGGGCACCCACCACCTGGGTTCACGGTGTGCGTGACATCTTTAGAGAGAAAAGTCAAATGAATGATTTTAAACCCTGATGGATTTTAGCTGCTTTTGGCATGGCTGATGCTGAGGCCCTTGCTGAACCGCAGCTGTGCCTGTCACATTAACTCGTGTGTAATTCTTTGTTCTGGGCTGAAGACTCCACTGTAGAAGCACTCACAGTATGTTCTGTCATTGAAACATTTCTGCTCTGGCAGATGAGTGATTAAGTTGACTGTTTCCTTCATTTGCATGTTATAAACTGAAATCAGATACAGTACAGCTTTCTCCTGTGGGGGGTGGTGAAGTCTGTCCCCCAAGGGCTGGTAACTGTTGAGCTTTCATCGTGGGAAATTATAGTCTGGCTTGATCTGTGTGAGATGAAGGGTTGTAAGGCATCTTGGATGAATTTGCAGTTACATCCAAGAGGAGACAGATCTGAGCCACTGCCTTGGCCTTCCTGTCCCATCACTCTGCCGGCTGGCAGCTTGGCCTAGGGGTCAGCGGACATCCTTCTGTCCTCGGAGCAGGCCTCCGTGCTCTCGGTGTGTGAACACTTTCACTGTGTGCTGGAGGCCAGCTCCAGCTGAGTTCGGAACTCCAGAAGGGTGTGCGGAATAGAAAAGGAAAGAGATGGACCACTGCGATTTCATGATCACAATGGACAAATGCAAGAAAGCTGTCCCCTTTTTTGTACAGAAACCCTCACGAGCTCTGGTACATACTTTTGAGGTCATGGTCAAGTGGGTGTATCCAAGAATAATTCTGCCTTTTGTTTCACCTAAAAGCCGAATAGAAGTTCCTACTGCAATTCTTATTCTACAACTCAATCTTGAATCAGTTAAGGGAAGAAATGTATCACAAAGAAAAGGAGAACCTAAATATCAAGGAAAGAATGAGACCCTAAACACAGGTCCCTTGATTAGCATAAGGTCCTTGGGGACAGCCGAGACAGCATGAATAATAGTGACATTAACCTCCAAGCTCACATTGATAGTAAAAACCAACCCCACAGCAGCAAACGATGCCTGAATGGATTAGAGTTCTTCCGTATTCAGGTGGCTGTAGAGACATCCTCAGGGCCCTGCCGTGCAGCCGGAAGTTCCTTGCGGCCCTGCCTGCAATGAGAACAACACTCTTCACACCTTTGGGTGCCCCGCATCTACTGCACGGACCCCAGCAATTGTGAAGCCCACCCTCAGCATCTAGCAGGTAAAGCCAAGTGCTCGGTTCTGCTGCCAGCGACTGGGAAGCGACCCAGTGGAGGGAGCTTGCTGTGTTGCCCTCTGCCTCTCACTGCTCTGTGGTAATCTAGTTTTTAGCATCAGTGAATTATGTTGTATGTTTGATACTTGTTTAGTTTATTATGGTTAAATAAGCTTAAGTGGGTAACCAGAATTGTGATCAATTATTCCATGTTGGAATCCTATAGATTTGTGAATCGGTCTGTGTGTGTATGTGAGATTCCACACCAGGGCTGGCTGAGGCTCCGCATTTCCCACCTTCTCTTGTGGATTTTGCGGTTGTCTCATGTGGCTGTGGTCGTTTCTCCTGCACAGGGAAGGCCGCTGGTGGAGATGGAATCTCTGTGGGGCGCGTATGTTGTCATCCACAGAAATTCTTGCCAATGAGAAGAAGTCTTCATGTAGCTGCCAGTCATCGCAGCACCGTCTGCTCTGCCGGGGACTGCACCGTCTCTGGGTCTCACGGTGCCTTGCCGGGGACTGCACCGTCTCTGGGTCTCACGGTGCCTTGCCGGGGACTGCACCGTCTCTGGGTCTCACGGTGCCTTGCCGGGGACTGCACCGTCTCTGGGTCTCATGGTGCCTTGCCGGGGGCTGCACCGTCTCTGGGTCTCACGGTGCTCTGCTGGGACACTTGGCTTTACCTGCTAGCTGGAAGGGAGTGGAGCAGCTGGAATATGGACCAGTGCTCTAATGGGATCTAATGGGATCCCGGCACATGCAAGGCGGGAAGGCGGGGACTTTAACCACTAGGCTACCCGCCCTAAGCTTTCTGCAGCTCTTGCTGCATTTTTAAGGCTCTGTGCAGGGGTGATGTCCTGGAACAGGACATAATGGCACTTGAACCAAATGAGTTGTTGAGATAAAGGAAATGATATGAAATCATCAAGAATTAGAAATAGAGAAAGAACTGGGTTCTCATTTGGTTCCCAGCTGCTTGAAGCTGTGGTGCTTTGCTTTCTGCAGCTGGCTAGTTATCTTGTAATAGTAACATAAATTTTATATGAATATGTAGATATTACATATATTGTCCAGTGAATATATATGAGAGCTTGAAGCAAGTTCATGGAAAGTTCATACAATGAAACAACGGCATGGACTGCAAGATTTCTTAATGCACTGCTGAAAATATCAGCCACTTCTAATTCCTTTTCCTTGGGCTTTCTGAAGTCCCTTGGGTACAGAGCCCCCCGAAACAGGTGGCCTTCATGATTGATGACAGGCTGTCCGGCTGCCCTTCCTGAATTGGGCTGCACGTGCTGGACGCCCTTTAGTTGAATGTGTAGTGTTCTGGCAGCTAAGGCCACCTTCATTTCTCTTTTAAAATAGTGCTTGCAAGGAGTGCCTTTTGTCATTGTAAGCTGCTTCCCATTGGGTAGATTTGCTGTTGAATTTGGATTTGGCAGATATTCCTTTTCCTTTCATCATTGATCAGCCCAAGGCCTTGGTAGCTTAGCTGGTTGTATTCCAAGTACTCTGCCCAAGTGCAGGCATGACCCGGCTGCTGCGTGGAAGGACTGTGTGGGCCGTGACCCGGCTGCTGCGTGGAAGGACTGTGTGGGCCGTGACCCGGCTGCTGCGTGGAAGGACTGTGTGGGCCGTGACCCGGCTGCTGCGTGGAAGGACTGTGTGGGCCGTGCTGCTGCGTGGAAGGACTGTGTGGGCCGTGACCCGGCTGCTGCGTGGAAGGACTGTGTGGGCCGTGACCCGGCTGCTGCGTGGAAGGACTGTGTGGGCCGTGACCCGGCTGCTGCGTGGAAGGACTGTGTGGGCCGTGACCCGGCTGCTGCGTGGAAGGACTGTGTGGGCCGTGACCCGGCTGCTGCGTGGAAGGACTGTGTGGGCCGTGACCCGGCTGCTGCGTGGAAGGACTGTGTGGGCCGTGACCCGGCTGCTGCGTGGAAGGACTGTGTGTGACCGTGGCCTTGGCTTGCTGCTCTGCTGGCACTCCGAGCAGGCATGCTGAGCTGTGTGTGGCCCCTGCCTGGGCTGCAGCTTCCTGCGTTTTCAGGAGTACTAGGCCTGGCAAGGGCAGCCCTGCGTGGCTCTGAATGGCACATGTGAAGGTGGCCGGGGTCTGCAGCCAGGACTGTCGCCCACAAGCCCCTGCCCGGAACTACACCCTTCCTGTCGGGGGTTTGGATTTGCCATGGAACAGATTTCGGAAATGTGCGTTGTGTTCCACGTGCTGAAGGGTGAGGTCTTCTTTAACACCAGTTCTTTCCTGTCTGACGGCAGCAGCGCACTCTGCCCTGTGTGGGAGACGCATGCTCTCTGCTGCATGGTCGGGTGCGTCACTTGGACCTAGGTTTTCTTGCCAGACAATGTAGAATGCATACCCATTCCCACAGAGTTGTCAGCATGCTTTCAGACTGACAACAAAGTGTAAACTTCTAACACTTAGAGTGTTTTGTTGCTAGGGTAATCATTTTCCGTTTAAATAGATATATAAACATTTAATGCAGTTCCATATTTTACATGCAAATCTATAACATAGTTAAGTTCTGTAAGTAGCCTAAAGTAAGGTAAAAAGCAGTCTTCCATAAAGGAATTGGCAGGTTAATTTTCAGTGTAACTTCACTGAGCCTGTGCAGCTCGGACCACCCACGGAGTGGCCTGCGGAGGCCTCGGTGGTGCAGGAGCTGTTGGTATGTGGGCTGGCTGGCTGGGTGAGGAAGGCGCCCCCTGGGACTGAAGCGTCCTTGTTCTGTGTCCTGGCTGCCCCCCGCCCCGTGCATCCCCTTGACGTGTGGTGCACGTTAGCCCCGGTAGAGCAGGTGTGTGCACCGCTTGCCGGGGCCGTCCTTGGGACGCCCGTGCACCATGCCCTGGTTGCTGGGTTCATTTCTCAATTTCTCACAATGCTAATATCAGTTCTGGGTAATGTGAACCTCAGCAGGTGCTGGAGTGAGTAAATTACCTAAATTTATGAAGTAAACTTAACAGTATGAGGAAATTCTGTCACAATGTAGAAAATTGTGGGTTCTTTAGGCATTTTTAAGCATTCAAAGCAAACATTAGAGATGCGTACTAAATCGCAGTTGCTGTCACTGCACTTGGAGCGTACACGGTCAGGAAGTGAGCAGTGCTGTAGTCGCTGATCTGTGAAGGTTTTCAAAATGAGTGCAGGCCTGTGTTAGAGAACCAACACTTGCACATTACTCTTTATTTCAAGGGGGGGAAGAGAAATTGAGCAGTTTCTAGAAAACATTTACTTATTGTGCTTGGAAGTATTAGAGAGGGAAAGAGTTAGGTCTTTGGTCGCTGGTTCACTCTCCCAGTGGCTGCAGCAGCCAGAGCTGAGCTGATCCAAAGCCAGGAGCCAGCAGCTTCTCCTCGCTCTCCCTGGGGCCAAAGCATGAAGAACAATGTGAAAGTTTGTCTTGTGAGTTCAAACTAAGAGACTTTCATTGTGGAGGAAGCAGCAGTGTTTGCGCACACACTTTACTGAAGTGGAAGACAGGTGTAGGTTGAAGTGGAACGTGCAAGATAACGTCGGTGTGCTTGTCCGTGCAGATAGATGTGTGCGTGCCAGGGCCTGTGTGTAAGGTGTGATTGTGTATGGCTCAGTTTCACTCGGGAAGGGGGTTGTTGTGTGCTACGCGGAACTTCATATTTGTGATCTGACTACAATCTGAGGGGAGGAATTATCACTAAGGGACCCAGAAACTTCTTTGTTTCACAGGAATGCACCAGCCGGACTATGGCTGTACTTTCCTTTGGCTCCTTGATGCCCGTGGCAGCAGCGGGCACTTTGGGCCTGCAGGTGCCATGAGGGCTGTGCCCCCTCTGGGTCAGCCAAGCTCATCAGGAAGGCTCCGTTGGCTTGCTGCCTTCTGCCAGCCCCGCCCTGCTGACGCACTCGCTTCTCTGCTGTAGGTTTACCGGCAAGACTGTGAAACGTTCGGGCTGGTTGTGAAGATGCTGGTGGAGAAGGACCCTTCCTTGGCCAAGGCCATCCAGCCTGCCCTGCGGCAGAACTTACACGAACTGGGCGAGCGCTGTGTGGGGGAGCTGAAACGCTTCATCGCCGAATATGACACTGCCACTCCTGCGCTCGGAGAGCCGCTCTAGGAGCTTCCTCGCTCAGCAGGAAAGTGTTTCTAGATGCCCTGAACCCTGGGCTGTGTAAGTCCTTCATAGATGGAAGTCCTTTGTGGTAGGTGACCACCTTTCCATGTCAAATAAAGCTCCTGCAGCCGCTCTCTCGGGTGGAACCGTCCGCCCTGCAGGGTGCTGTGTGCACTCTCCCCCAGCAGGGGCCGTGGGCAGCTGATTGTCCGTGCCCGAGAGCCACGTGCTGGCCTCCCCGTGTATCCTTCCTGTGGGAGTTTCTGTTTGGCAGCAGCGTTGGAGGCCCAGTGCCAGACATTCCATTTCATCTGTGTTTGAGTGCAGTGTCCTGATCAATGGGCCACGTGGGCATGGGAGCACTGGGTGTCCAGCAGGCCCCCGCGGGGATGGCCTCGGGTTTAAAGTTGGGAATTCCTGAACATTAAATATGTTTGAAATATCCCGAAGTCTAATTTAAATTTTTCTATATAGGCTATCTTTCTCACTTGAGAAAATGGCTGATAAAATGCCCACAGTTAAAGCATGTGCAGGTTACCCAGGGTTCCTGGGGTGTGCCAGGGCAGGGCAGGTGTTCTCAGCCCTGCCCTCCGTGTGCTGCAGGTCCGCTTGGTCTCCTGGGGCACTGGCTGCGCCCATGGGCATCCCAACAGAGAGCGAGGCGGTCCCAGGACTCGGGCTGCCTCCTCTCCAGGCCTTATCCAGCCTCCTGTCTCCCCTCCTCCAACATGGCCAGTTTGGGGATAACGTTTGTTGAAAGTGTCAAAAGAGCAACTCCAGAGTGAATGTAATGTGAATAATGTGACCCATCTATGACGGGTGCCTCCAGATGCATGGTGCCCCGTCGGTCAGTTTCAAACCTGGTTGAGGGCAGCGACGAACACTGCTCCGTGGGCTGTCACCGTCCGAATGCTACGCCGACCTAACTGGCATGAAGGCACCTCTGGCACTGTGCCCTGATGTCACAGGTTTTGTCGTGTGTATTATAAAGGCCAAGAACTGTTGGCCCGGCCTCCATGTGCTGCCCCTGCGGCCCTGGGTCTGCTTCTGCCTAGTCCAGCACTGTGTTCTGGTACTTCAGGTGTTGCAACTTTGCAAGGAAACGTGAGAACGCAACCCTGACAGAGAGTCTCCGTTGCACATGGTGCCAGTGCAGGGCCAGCAGTCCTCCTCCTCCTCTTCCTCCTCCTCCTCCTCTTCCTCCTGCTCCCCCCACCACCCCCGGCTTCACTTCCATGCCTGCTCTCTCCAACATGGCCACAATAGCCTGCTCTGCGCCTAGTCCTGTGGGCTTTGCAGTGTTAAATCCCTCGGGGGTTGGAGCCGCCTTTCCAGTCTAATCGTAGGATAGCACAGTTCAGTATGTACCTGGGAATGTACTTTGCAGAATAGTCTGGGTTAAAGAGATTTGCTTTTACACTGTCATTTTTAGTAGGCCCAGTTACAAAAATTGTTATTTGATTTGACTTTGAAGCCTTCAGTGGTCAACAGGAAAACCCCATTCTGTAAGATGCTTTGTTCATTTTGAAATTGCAAATAAAGCAACTAAGTTTAAGTAATGACGTCGTTTGTGCTGCTTTGCCAAGTCTGAGTGGCAGGCCTTGGGGCCAGTGTTACGGGGCAGCGGGTTAAGCCGCCGCCGCCTGAAATGGAAGCATCGCATGTTGCTGCTGGTTTGAATCGAGGCTGCTCCACTCCAGTGCTGGTCACAAGGTCACCGGTGCTCGTGTTTGTCCACTTGAGCTGGCTTCACAAAGGCACAGACTTTGTCCTGGAGGCACAGGGACAATTGTGGAAGCGGTTCAGGAGGACGGGTGATGTGAAGGAGGGCCTGGGGGAGCTGATCTTGGTGCAGAGCATGTGGGAATGGCGAGCAGGGTATTTACAGCAGATGAGGGGCTGGTACGCAGCAGTTGGCGTGGAGGGGCCCTCTGCCTTTGCTTGGCCTGCCTCGGAGCAGTGCAGACTCCTAGGACATGGCCCCTCTAGAGTTCCCTGCCTCCTCGTGCCCCTGAAGCCGGGTGTAGACCGCTCACGGCCTCTGGAGCCAATGGGTCTGCCCAGCAGTTTCCCTGCACAGAAGCCCAGCTCTGTTTGACCTTGGTTCTGTCGCTTCTTCCTCCAGGCACTGCTGAGTGCTGCTGTGCTGTAGTGTGAGTGGAGAAGGCTGAGGGCAGGGTTAGCCACTCCGCTTAAGGGGATGGAATGGTGCGGCCTTAGCCTTTCTCGGAAACATCGGGATTAGCAAGCTCTGGAAGTGGTATTCTTGCCCAAAATACTGATTTCTCAGCCACTTTCTTACCCTGAACCCATCTACAGATCTAGAAGCTTCAGAAGGCACTGCTCGCTCCTGGACGCTGGGCGCTAAGGTAGGCTCTCCCAGTTTTTGGGCCATGGCTTGGAAGATGGCGTACTGGCCTGCTCAGATATTGGTGGTGGGCTGCTTGCTCTGGCTTCCCCGGAGGGTCACACCTGCCATGTGAGGGCACACTCACCCGGAGTCCCTGGCTGACAGCTGCTGTGGGAGGGCAGGCGGGCGGGGGGGGCGGTGTAGCCCACCCACGGTCCAGAAAACTCCAGGGTCACCCAGGCAGTGAGCAGGAATTGCTGGCGTGGGTGTGGACCGGTGGCTGGTGGTTTCCAGGAGTCCCACAGCTGCCTTCCCGGGACTGCCGCTGTCGCACCTTGAGTGGGAGGTCCTCCGTTATCCAAGCTGGGACCCTAGAGTGTGCGAGTGTCTCTGCACGCTGTTGGATCCTTTTGCAAGGTGGCAGCCACAGCTTTGCAGACTGCATGACCTGGCGTGCTGAGCTGGTGGGACGCCCCAGTGGCCATGGGGTTGGCCTCCACCAGTGCCTGTCCCGTGTCTGCACTGTGATCGCCCACCTTGGCTGGTTGGACAGGGCCACCTCAGCTTGCCTTGTGAGCAGCTCAGGACACTTGGGCCACGTCCCCTCACTTGTGCTCTGTGCAGTACTCTATTGCTGGGTCATTGTGACTAACGTTGCCCAAGGTTTTCGAGTTTTCTTGAAGCTGCATTCTGGTCTTCAGTAGAATCCAGGATACCGTACTGGACGTGGCGTGTAACACTGGCGGTTTAACTCGCTGACTGGTGTGTGGAATTGAGTGGGACCATCCCTTCCTGCGCAGGGTTGGACAACCCTGTTTGTGGCTCACACCATCACTTGGATCTAGGAGGGTTTGTGCTTCAACGGCTGTAGTTACTCAGTGGGAGAGCTAAGGGCGCGGGGCACTTTCCAGGTTGGCCCAAGTAGAGATGACTTTGTAAGAAAGGAAGTCAGGGGTCTAGCACGGTGGCCTAGTGGCTAAAGTCCTCACTTTGCGCACACCAGGATCCCATATGGGTGCTGGTTCTAATCCTGGCGGCCCCGCTTGCCATGCAGCTCCCTGTCCATGGCCTGGGAAAGCAGTCGAGGGCGGCCCAAGGTCTTAGGACCCTGCACCTACTCGGGAGACCTGGAAGAAACTCCAGTTTTCCTTGTAGTGGCTTCCCTGCCTTCCCCCGAAGCCCAGCCCGTGCACAGTCCTGCTGCTAGGCTCCAGGTGAGCATGGGCCCCGCTTCCTGGCTCTGAGCCTTGGCTGGTGTGCATTGGAGTCAGTTACAGAAAGAGACAGATCTTCCGTCTGCTGCTTCACTCCCTAAATGGCCACAACTGCCTAGGTTACGCTGGTCCAGAGCCAGGAGCTACTTCTCAGTCTCCTACATGGGTGACTTTGGCCATCCTCTACTGCTTTCCCAGGCCTCAAGCAGAGAAGTATAGAAGCTGGGACATGAAATGGGATGCTGGTGCTGCAGGTGGAGGCTTAGCTTGCCGTGCCACCGTGCTGCCCGATGTGTAATGTAGACACAAGTGAGGACTAGGGTGAGTGTGCCAGGGACAAGGGTGGTTCTGAGGACAGGCCTGTGTCCCATTCACAGGCTCCACCCATCCTTTCTTCTTTACGCCGTTTTTATTTAAGCATTTTCATCTTATTTGGAAGGCAGGCAGACAGGTAGGTCTTTGATTCTGGATCATTCCTCCAATGCCTGCAGCGGCTGGCTGCCGTTAAGAACGTGGGAGTGGCCCCCAAGTGGCCGGCCTCTGCCCACTCGCGTCATCCACAGCTGATACCTCGGGTCTGTGTCAGCAGTGGAGTTAGGACTCGATCCATGTTCCCATGAGGGAATGCAGGTGGTCCGAGCAGCAGCTTCACGCTCTGCGGACCCTCCACTCTATCGTAGCCTTCTGCCCCAGGGTGCACCTGCCGCGCCAGCGTGGGGTCTGTAACTGTCTTCAAAGTGGGAAGATGGTGGTAAGACTCTCACTTGAAGAGTTTTAGAAATGCAGTGGGGAAGAAAAATGGAGCAATTTGCTGCATGGGCATGTGGCACTCCGCGTGGGGCGCTCCCGCACGCGCTGCCTGGAGCAGCCCAGTACTGTCACCTGGCAGCTGTAACATTCATGCACTCTGCCCGCTGACTCTGTGCACGTGTGCCACTGAGGGCAGCCTGGCGGGAGGAAGCCAAGTGCATCACCTGGTCAGAGGTGGGACCAAGGGCACGCTGGGCCCTGGCAGAAGGAGGAACTCCTCGCCCTTCTGTGCCAGCGAACTGCGTGGGCAGGCCCTTGCTGCTTTCAGGGAACTGTTGAACGTGCCAAGCCTGTGCCATCACTGGGCAGCAGGCTCAGAGCCTGGTGTGCCCTGTCTGGCTGGTGGTTCTTCTTAGACCTGTGTGCAGGGGAGGAAGGGGCAGTGCCTGGCAAGGCTGCAGCCTACACCACGCCCAGGGGACGCACAGAAATGTGTACTCAAAGCAGCAAGTCATTTATTAGGTGTTTATTAAATACCTCCCTGAAGCTCCTAGACGCTTCCGGGCCCTTCCAGGCAGGACGGAGCTGTGGATGCAGGAACAGGACCCGTGGAGAGCGCGGTTCATTCCTTCAGCCCAGCGTTGACTCCCCCAGCTGGACCCTCCCCGGGATGCCCAGTTCCTCTAACGCAAACTTGCTGTTGGAGACCAGCAAGTGCGCCAGCTCGAAGGGAAGGAGTGGCTGCTCCCCCAGGTCAAGCTGTATGCGTACCTCCAGTGGGCTCTCGTTCCGTGCCCCCACCCGAGGTCAGCTGCACCTCGCCGCGTCTGGCGGGGCCCACCCCATTCGCTGTAGATCCGCGTGTGGGGTCTTGGTTTTGGTAGTTTTTTTTTTTTTTTTTTAACATTTATACAGTTTACATTGCTTGACCCATAAATAACACTCGTAAGTTTAAACAGGGCCATAGTTAAGAGTATTTACACAGCCCCACCATGCATACAGAGCCTTTTTAATATTGAGAAAGCAAAAAAGAACCCAAACTTTCCATTACTCGGCAGTATAAATCTGTCTAGACTGAATGCAAGCCAGCGCCGCCCGCCGCCACCACTGTTCCCTGACGGACTCGGCACTGCGCCGCAGCAAACGTCTTGTGATGCAGGGATATAAAAATATCAGCTTTAAATCTCAACTGTACAGTATACACATTAGTATTTGCACCGTTAAATTAGGAATACACTTAGTCTATGAAATACATCATAAATAGCAATGTACTTATTTTTGTTTTCTTTTCCCCAATGTGTAACTGGCTGGAGCTGATTCAATGCAGTGCCGACCGGCTGACGGGCTCGCAGGGGGCACGTGGGCCTCACAGAGTTGGCCCGTGACCAGGGGCATGCCTCCTCAGACATCCTGGCCCAGGTAACGACTTTTCGAAAGTGGCTGCAATGCGCCCGTGTGCCAGCATCCACACCCCCCACTGGCGGAGGCCCCCGTGGCATGGCCTGAGCCCGTGGACAGCAGCCGGGGCCCCACGCGCACTGGGGGCGACCAGCAGCCAGACATGCGGGGCAGCCAGCTTGCAGCGTGCCCTCGCTGCTGCACGTTAGGAAATGATGCAGTTTTTGCCTTTGTGCCCCCGTTTCTTCTTGGATCTTGTGGTCCTCTGACCAAATTGGGGCGTGGGCAATGCAGCCGAGGGGCTGGCCAGCTCGTCCGTGTAGTAGGCGTGTCTCTGCGGCCGGGGCTGTGGGATGGGCTGCCCCAAGAAGTAGCCCTCCTCCTCGGAGTCGGAGGAGGAGGACGACGAGCACCACGAGTCGTCCTCGTCATCATAGAGGCCCAGGAAGCGCGCCCCGCGCGGGGTCTGCAGCGCGTAGTCGGACGTGGCATGCGGGTAGCGGCCATAGGGCTCCGCGCCTGGCAGCCGCGCGCCCATCTCCCACGCGCCCCGCTGCTGCAGGAACTTCTCGTAGCTGTCGGGCGGGCAGAGCCGCAGCCTGTCCTTGGAAGGGGACCTCCTCTCCGCCATGAGATTGAGGGCGTTGTCAGAGCGCGACTTCCTGCTCCGCCGGCGCCGGTGGTGGTGCTGGTGCGGCCGCGACCCCCTCTCATCGAAGTGGTAGACCCGTCTGCGTGTCCGCTCGCTCATGGGCGCCTGCCGGACCTCCACGTGCTCGTAGCTGCCGCGGTCGATGACGTCATCCGAGAACTTGACCTGCTGGGGCCGGGACTGGGACTTGG